GAGAGCGCATGCTCTGGGTCATGGTACAAAAGCAACCCACATGCGCATGGAACACATCATTGCTAAGACGAAGAGCACGAGCGAGAGTACACTAGCGCAATGGTTCGCACGCCAGGCTAAATCGCTTCGCAGCAAAGTGTCTACGGCGGTTGCGCCATACTGTTTCCCCGCGAGCGTAATACTCACAGCGAGCCCCCCATGGCAACCCCTACACGGTTGGCTGCAAAGTGCGTATGTCGTCCGCGCATTCTCACACTAACTTCTCATTACCCTTACAAGCACAACAATCCACCACCGTGCACTCCGCACGCGTGGGCGTATCATGATGCGTGTCTGTTGTCTGTCAGGCGTTCTGTTACATGGCCGTGATGAAATTCCGCCAAGTTTGTTTGATTATGGTGCTCTGGTTTCGCTTACTTCGAACTTCGTTTGAACCAATTTCCAAATCATGGATTCGTGAACGTCCTGCGCGACGCGCTCGCTTTCCTGTTGTTTCGAACCGATTTCAGACCGGGTTCCAAGACCTCGTCTCTAGGGAATCCAGCACGAAACGCTCGCGTTCCTCCTGTTTGGAACCGAACGTTCCAAAGTATCTGTTTGAGGAAGTCCCGAACGAAACGCTCGCTTTTCTATCGTTTCGAGCCGAATTCGAGCCAGGTTCGAAACATCGTTTCGAGTTATTCCCGAAGAAACGCTGACTCTTCTGTTGTTCCGAACCGACTGGTATTGTTTCGAACCGGCTTTCGAACCTTGTTCGAACTGTTTGGCGAGGAAACTCCACGCGGTTCGCCGATTTCGAACCGCCATCCTGCTGGGCCTTCTAATTTTTATTTGGAGGTGCCAACCCTGGGTTGTCTGGCCCCCGCTGGCACAGCTCCGCCCCCATCACGTTGTACAAGGCTCAGCGCGCCGAACGGGGCATCTCAGTCCACGCAGAGCCAGCCTGTGAAAAGTATTGGGGCGATCTTCTATCACGGCGAAGTATGAGCTAGAGCCGACCCCTCCCGCCTCGCAGCAAGCCCCCCCCGTTTTGCTGCCAGGCGCCCTTTTTTCGGATCCTGGGCGACTCCACGCCAGCCAAATACCGCACCAGAGCGACGCCCCAAGACCATGCGAAGACGGCCTGGCGAGCTCCCAAAGGTTCCTAGACCTCCCCAAGCTGCCCCATGCAGCCTCCACGAGGCGCCCAAAGAGGCCTCCATCAAGGCCCCACAAGGCGATACATGTTGAAACTCGTACAGAACATAGTTGTTGTTGCTTCCCTGGCTTTTCGGCTTCAGATCGCATCGGAGAAGCTTCAGACAGTCCCCAGTGGCAAGACATGGGTCTCGCTGTAGCGAACTCCTAAATAGTGATAGGGATTTCGCTCACCACCACGGGGTAGTCGTGCTCATCCTCCGCGGGTAGTCGTCTAAACTTTGCGTATCCCCCACGGGTTGACGTCTACCCTCTTTTTGAGATAGTTTTTGTTTGACAAATCGTGCTCATGCATTTCATTATGCTGACAAGGTGGAAACACTCACAAAAAAACCGTACGATAGCGTTTTGCCATAACTTAACTGCAGTAGGTCAGACCCGTCCGAACGTCTGACTTAGGAACGAAGCGCAGACATCGTCATCTCCTACCGCATAACAGAACTTTAGCCTAACATGCTAATGTGGGTGTCACCACCACCATCACCATCACCACACTCACGACCACGATCACCATCACCACCATCACCATCATCGTCATCATCATCATCATCATCACCATCACCATCGCCAACACCATCGCCATAACCATCACCATCACTGCCACCATCATCACTAATAACATCTTCATGATCGTGATCATGCTTATGATCATGATCCGGATCATAATCATCAGCATCGTCATCATTGCTTCACCATCACCATCACTATCACCTCCACCACCATTATTATCATGATCACCATCGTCATCATCATCATCATCATCATCATCATCATCATCATCATCATCATCATCATCATCCTCGTCCTCATCCTCACCCTTATCCTCATCATCCTCATCCTCATCCTCATCCTCATGACCACCACCATCACCATCGTCACCGTCATGGGGGAGAAAGGGGAAGATAGGAAACTGGCGCAAGGGCAGGGCGAGGAGGTCGCGGATGAGGAAACCGGTTGTCTACTTCAGTGGAGGGAGCGAGACCGGGAGGGTGCGGGGAAGGATGGGGGTACCAGCCCCAGGCGGTCTTCGGCGGTTTTCTGGCGGTCTTCGGCTGCTTTCTGACGGTCTTCGGCGGTCTTCGTCGGTTCTGGCAGTATTCGGCGCGATTGCTAGATAGTTGCGGTTAACAATGGGTTCATGATCGAACACCTAACACAAGAAGGTACTAGTACCATGCTTCCTCCTCGGAGGCGTGCGTCCGATCCGAACATATAGTACAAACATCTTGTCATCGTGTTGTATCTAGCTTTCCCAGAGGCATGGGGCCTATACTATGAAATTGATCGGCTCGCGCGTCCCCCTGGGGGTGCGACGCACACATAGCATCAATATGTTGGGATGACGCCAACCAGACCCCAGGCATCCGGCGTCTCGAATAATTCGAGACACAAGTTGTGCATAACGTTCGGCCTCTCGGGGCCCTTCCCGGGGCCTCGAGGCCGTCACAACAACTCGGGACGAAAGCGGGTTCCGGAGAACAGGTCGAGAGGTCGGCGGCCCGCGTCTCGAAACAATCGAGACGCTGGATGTCTGGGATTTGGTGGCCACGCTGCGTGGTGTCAAGTCGGGCCTGTCCCCCTACAGGCCGATTTAAAACGAGAAGTAACAAAACACCCAAACATACCATAAAAATGCTCAACCATGGTCAACAAAATAGTCCCCAGAATATTTTTGGACTACTTTTGAATTTCCCTCCTGTAGAGGGACAGGCCCGACTTAAGCGTGGTGAGTCAGTGTGGATTCGGGGCCAACGCACGGTTTTGGGGACTCGGGCCGTCCTCCGAGGAGGCGCACGGGGCCTCCCGGGTGCCATTTACCGTGCGGTGACGGTCCGCGCGGTGGGGTCGCTGGGGACTCCGAGGTCACCACGCGGTCCGTCACCACACAGTTCTGGAGCCCCCCGATGGCTGTGCCGATCCTGGCGTGTTCCATCGGTTTCGGCCTCTGGGGTCTGTTCTCACGACGCGCTGCGGCCGGGGGCTTTGGATAAGGAGCCCTTGGATGAGCACTCCAGGGTCTGGAAGCTGGTGAAGCACCGCCTGAGGCGTGGCCACGGATATCACCGCCGCCCTCTCCAGGTAAGGAATCCTCCAGGGTCTGGCGCCTCATGGGACTATTCCTTATCAGACGCCTCAACTGTATGCCTTGCGAGCGGATAGCGTGTCGCTCCGCTCCGCGAGCTGGGAGGCCTCGACAGGCTCGGACCGATGACGCTCAGGGACCGGGACGTGGACAGCGTGCCGCGCCGAAACGTGGCAGGCCAGAGCAAGCGGAGCGGCACGCTACGGCAAAGTTCCCGACCGCATGGCTCCAGGTCGCGCGGTATATACCCCCCCCTTTGGGAGGGGTCGTGGGCTCGTGGGGCTGCGGACAGACCAAATCATCTCGGCTGCTGTCTGGGGAAGAGAGGCGGCCTGCTCCGGAGGCAGCGACCTGGATCCTCCATAGGCTCGTTGCTCCTTGGCGGCGCCCACGAGGGGGTCGGGGAAGGGGGGGGGCTTCTTAGAAGGAGCCTGCTTCTCAGAAGTCGCCGGCCCTATCTCTACATGCACGGCCCGCGCCTTCTAGGAGGCAGGGGTGCTTCTAAGAAGCCTGCCCCCCTCCCCCGCACCCTTTGGCCGGGTATGTCCTCCTACAGACAGACCTTGGAAAGAACACGGGAAGTAGCCGAGACATGCCCCAGCGTTGTCAACTCTGGTCGAACCATCGCCCCCAGACCATGCTGCTTCTCTTGAATGCTCGTCCTGTAGAGGGGCACGCCCGACTTAAAACCCTGCCCCCCTCTGCCTGAGCATTTTCTTAGGGTTGAGGGCTCAGGGTGAAATCCATATGGGCTTTTGTACCTCGAAAATCAACCCGTCTTGTGATTCACTTTCTGCAGCTTCAAGCCTCGAAGATCCATCGAAACGGCATTTCAGATCTTACCCTTTGCCCTCCACCCAAAGAGAATGCTCGGTCTGCGCGTGGCCGCCGCTCCGCGCGGCCCTCCCGCTCGGGCCGGGCTCCGCCGCGCGAGGGCCCCGCACGGGGCCCCCCCGAGCCCGGCGACGCGGCCCGGCGCGTGCCTGGCCATCGCTCGGGCGCCCACTCCCCGCGCCCGTTTCGGCTCTGCGCGTCTGGCCCTTTCGCAGGATGGCCCCGCATGCTCCTCGATGTGGGAGGCCCAGAAATTGGCACCAACACCAGCACAGGGGGTTGCCTCCACAGGGGGAAGAGGATCCTCGATTTCGGTGTTGGTGGTAATATTTCGGTCACTTTGGAAGCCAGAATATTACCACCATCACCGAGATCGGGATCCTCTTTCCTCGGTGGGATCCTCTTCCCTCGGTGGAGGAACACCGCCGATATTGGTGTTGGTGTCAACCTCTAGGCCTGCGACGATGGTCCCCTGCTAGACAAAATCCTGAGATCCGACGTTGCAAAGCACCGCTCCATCGCACACAAGACTCGCGACCAGAGCCCTGGGCACCAGCCGTCTGGGTCATTTTTCGAGGCGGAGCGACCTGCGAGGGTCCCCGGGCCCGAACAAGAAGGCGAAGACGCCCCCTGCGAAAACAAAAAATACACCGCCAGGATCTCTCCGGACAGGCGCACGTCCGAGCACCCCCTCGTGCCCCGCTGCTCCGGGCGTGCCGCACACCGACGGCCCCGCCACGGCAGCCGCGCCCCCCGTGGGGGGCGGGGGAGGGGCCCCGCCCGCAGGGCCCGCCCGAGAGGAGACCGCGCGCGCGGCCGGGCGCGCACAGCTCCGGGGCGGTGGCGTGCGGCCGCGCGGCCGCGCGGCCGCGCGACCGCGCCGCGGCTACTCGTCCGGGTCCTCCGGGATCCAGGTCTCCCGGCCCTTCCTGGGCGGGTCCCTCTCCGGGCTCGTCCCGTCCTGGGCCGGCGCGGGCGCGGCGAACGGAATCGGGGGGATGGGGGGGCAGAGGAGAAGCAGGGGGCGGGGAGGAGGAGGGGTGGACGAGGCCTCCGATCCCCCTCCTGCCCCCCCGCGTGCCCGTCCATCTCCTCCCTCTCCCCCTTCTCTCGGGGGCGGCCAAGAGGGGGCGTCAAAGAGGGGGGGAGGGCGCAAATCATGGCCAGCGGCATGTGCGAGGTCCAGGAGGGGGGGGGCCAGGGACGTGTTGAAATAAGAAAAGGCGCCATGACATCTGGGGAGATGTCATGGCCCCCGCCATGAGATCCCCGCCCTAGTCATCACCCCCCTGCTGGCCGCCCCCGATTCTCCCTCCCCATTCGACTCCTTCTCATCCGCTGTGGTTCCGCTCTGACCCAGCGCCACGTCCATCTGCTTCGGCCTGCGGGCCGCTGCGGCGGCCTCCGCGCCTCCCAGCGTGCTTCGACGCGAATCGCTGCTCTTCGTGTGTGATTCGGTCGCCTGACGCGGCGATACCCGCTGGGCTGTGCAAGCCAAGCAACACGACCCATCCGAAGGACCGGCTTGTGGTGTTACAGAAGCTGGCAATCAGTTTGCGAATGGCGAGCCGAGGGGGTTGCCCTGCCTCGTCGATTCACCGCCAACGGGCATCTTATGCAATTGCGAATGGTTTGCCATTGGCTTCGACCCCTCCTCCTCCCGCTCTCTCTCCTCCTCCACCGTTCGGGGGAGAGTTAGGGAGGGAGGAGAACGAGAAGGAGGGGGAGAGGGGGAGAGGAGCCAAAGGGAAAACACCGGTCCTGATATGGGTGAGAAGGACAGGAGAGGAATAGGCGGAGGAGGACGACAGGTAAGAGCATCATGCGGCAGAGGCGAAGGACGATCAAATAATGATGAGTCAAGGGGCGCAGGTAGACACAAAGAAACAAACACACATCCGAACTTTCCCAATCTGTGTGCATATGTTATGGGTGTTCGTATTCCCCCTCCACTTGCAATATGTTCATCGGAATCGGCATGTTTTTGTCTGCGTCTTTTTCCTCCGAAATGACGAGGAGGGGGAAGCATTTGAGGCGGAGGGGCACGGCGACGGAGGGTAATCGATCGAACTGGCTGCCTGCTAAGACGAGCTCGTCTAAGACAGGTGCTTGGAAGCTGGGCTCTGCTGCGAGATGTGCAGACGGGTTGCAATGGCTGGCCACGACCACCGGGGGGTATTGCCGAGTCTGTGCATCACATTCGAGGCCAATTCTTGGCCTGATAATTGGGTGTTGGTGACGGTGTGTCACCCCTATAGGGCCCGCCAACCATTGGTGCCTGTCTGGCCGAAGATCTCGATGACACATCTGGCGGCTCCATGGCGTCCCCATCGACGCTCAGGCGCAGCAAAAGCTTCGTGTCTTCGTCTGCCTCGGGCAGGTGCCCCCTGGCGCTGTTGACGACGGTGCCATTGCTTTCCGAAAAGACTCGGGTGGCCCAGCAGTCCGCCCTCTGACTGCCTTCCCGTCGCTGGTGGGGGAACCAATCAGCGCCAGCGTGGGCGGTCTCTACCTGTCTTGCGCGCTGCGTGTGGTGCAGCATGCGTTGGAGAATCGCCACGCGTGCACGATATGGCCCGTGGTCGCACTTTGTACTGCCGTTGACCCGATTGCTCACCGTCTGGTTGTCGCCTTTGCTGGCCATTGCTATGGGATGCCACCTGTTCTTTTCCAGGCTTCCCATCGACTTACACGTCGCAGTGCGCCCGCTGGCACTTTGCAAAAACCGTTTGCTGCCCAACTGCGGCGGCTTGTTCGCATCGTTGAGTCCTGGAGCCTGCGGAATCGCTTCCGTTGTATGCTTCGGCTGTCCAGCACGCCTTCAACCCGGACAGGCCCGTGGGAGTGCCGTTGCGGACCGCGGCACTATCGCCAGTCGTAGCCCCAGAGGTTCATGTGGCGTGGCCACCCGCACCCGTCCCAGTCTGTGGAAGAGGCGGATGGTGATCACGAAACGATGCGGAGGAAGGAAAAGGGGAAGGAGACGGAGGGGAGAAAGGAGAAAGAAGGGGGGATGGGGGAGGGGAGGGCGGGGGAGAACGGCAAGGATGGAGGATGAGGGGGATGACGAGGAGGATGAGACAGAACCAGAATATCGTGAGAGAGAGAGAGAAAGAGAAGAAGTGGAGATGAAAATGAGGAGTAGGAGGAACCTGATGCGGAGCAGGATGAACTGGCGAAGGATGAGGAATGTGATTCTCGCGAGAAATATATGGAGGAATTGAACGAGGACATTGATGCGGAGACTGATGAAGATGACGATGAGATATAGGAGGGAAAAGAGAACGATGATGATAGGGACACATGCGATGCGCAAGACGAACATGATCGCGAGGGGGAGGATGACGGAACATGGGCGGGGCCGGGAGATGGGAGGGCAGGAATGCGACCAGCAGCGCGGTGATGACGACGGTGGCAGTGATGACCAGGAGGGCCCTGGCGATGAGGACGAACCACTCCTGCGACGTGGGGCACGAGGCGTCGGCAACAGCCGTCACGCGGCAGAGCCAACGGCGCACTGGTGCGTGGAGAATGGGGGGGGGAAGAGCGGCCGCAGCCCTTCTCGTGCGGCCTGCCTCTCTGGTGCGGGGCATCGGCGCGGGCTCGCCGATCCCACGACGCGCGCGCGAGGCGGCGAGGCCGGTGCAGCTGGCTTCGCTTGGCTCTGCTGACCCGGGTCAGGGCAAACCTGGGCCAGTCAGGCTTGGCAGGATCCTGCGCCCAAGCTCGGGCCACTGCGCCCCTGGCCCTGCTGGATCCTGCAAGAGCCGGCGCTCTGCCTGACCCCCGTTCGACTTGACCCCGGGGCCCTGACGGCTGGCCTGGCCGGAAAAACCATGCACAGCGCCGAGGCGTGGCCGATTAAATAACAAGACCAAGATAAGCAGAGGGAGGGACCAGCGGGCGAAGGAGAAGAGGCCCGTTCCGTGCGCCACGCCTCGGGCGCGGAAGGCCGCTGGGGGGGCGCGGGGTGGGGGCGGGGCTCTCAACAGACAGGACCCATGGTGACGATGAGGATGCCGACGGTGATGATGGCGACGGTGACCACGACGACGACGACGACGGTCATGATGATGCTGATGATGATGCTGATGATGTTGATGATGACCACGATGCTGATGCTCGCGGTAATGATGGAGCATGGTGATGGTGATTGTAATGCTGATGATGCTGATGATGATAATGACCATGACGATGCCGATGACGATGCTGGTGCTGATGACGATATTGTTGATGACGATGATGATTATGACGATGCTGTTGATGATTGTAATGATATTGCTGATGCGCATGGTGCCGATGCTCGTGGTAATGATGGCGCATGGTGATGGTGCTGATGATGCGGATGACGCTGACGATGATAATGAACATGACGATAACGGTGATGATGATTATGATGATGATGCGGACGATGATGACCAATATTATTACGATGATGATGCTGATGATGATCATGATGCTCCTACTGATGATGCTGCTGATGATGATTTACAGAATCGGGGCTCAGGGTACTCCGGAACGCTCACCTGCATGAAGGAATGTTGCTCCGCGATGCGCTTTTTTGTCATCGGCACGGCGGCGCAGGCGGCGCTGGATGGCCAATGCGACCTTGAGGATGCAAGATACCAAGAGGGATGATCAACTTCGACCGCCTATACTCCTAAACCATTCCTGACCCCAGTCCTTGTCCTTTTTGAACGTGTTGTCCGAGGAGCCGCCGCGAGGAGGCGTGTGCACCTGCTCCTCTTCGAACCCCTCCCCCGCTCACGTACGCGAGAGAGACGCTCTCACGGGCTCGCCGCTGCCATCCTCGTGGCCACGCATTGCGACTCACTCTGGGAGCTGAGCTTGCCGACCACGGCCACCTGGAGGTCCGCGCGGACTGCACGCCTCGTCTTTGTGAATGTCCACGCCCTGATGACTGTTCAACGTATGAAGTGGCCCTCGCGGCCATGCTTGCTTGGTCATCTACTTCGCTTACTGCATCTTCGAGGGCGTCGGCCAGTCTGACGTTCTCTTCATCGTCATGTTCACGCACGTGTCGGTGGCCATCGAGACGGCGCCGTTTCATGACATCAACATCTTCGAGGGTTTCCGCCTGTATGTCGGTCTCAAACTCGCCTTGGCCACGAGTTTCCCGATGGCCCTTGCGACGCAGAGGCGGTGGCCGAGCCCTTCTGGAGAAGGTCGAACCGTCCGATCGGCTCTACCAGGAAGTCGACCCGATCGACACCTTGGCGGACATAGCATGCAACGCATTCGACTTGCTGGACGACCTCGGCTCGGTCACCAAGGACTCCTTCGCTGCTAGATTTCTTGGTAGGTATGGCTACGGCTATCCAGGACTACTCGACTTCCCTCCGGCGTACCGCGCTCCCATCCGAGACGTGGTGGAGCAAGTGATCGAAGCTACGAAATACGACGGCTCCGTTCAAGAGTCGGACGGCATTCTGACCATGCCTAGTCAGGCTGCAGGCTCTGTGTGTGCGTTCTCTGTTGCATCATGTTTCGGCTGTCTGATGATGATGACGATGACGATGGTGGTGATGACCATGATGATGATGATGATGATGATGATGATGATGATGATGATGATGATGATGATGATGATGATGATGATGATGATGATGATGATGATGATGATGATGGTGCTGATGATGCTGATGGTGGTGATCATGAGCATGGTCATGGTCATGACCATGGTGGTGGTGATAGTGATGGCGGTGATGATGGTGACGATGATGAGGGTGGTGGTGGTGCTGATGCTAATAATGACTCATGATGAGAAGGAGAACCGATAGGAGGAGGAGGAGGAGGAGGAGGAGGAGGAGGAGGAGGAGGAGGAGGAGGAGGAGGAGCCCAGCGTACCAGGTCTGTCTGACTGCGCGGCAGCAGCTAGGGCGCCTTGGCCGGCGGCGAGGGCGCGCCTCGACTGTTGAAGTTGCCGGAGGAGGAGGAGGAGGAGGAGGAGGAGGAGGAGGAGGAGGAGGAACAAATACCCGTGGGAAAGCATCGAATCTCTCCTTGGGGGCGTTAGGACTGGGCTTCCGAGGAGCATCGAAACAAGCGGGGGCGCGGACCTCCCAACGAGGAGGCCCCCGGCACTGCCCCAACAGAGGAGACACGGCGGTGCCGCCACCCCCGCCCTCCTCCGCCCTCCTCCGAGCGAAGGAACCCCCGGGCGGGGGCGCTCGGCACGTGGGGCTCCTTGCCGTCCTTGGAGAACCAGCGCGCGTGCGAGGCGCCCGACCGGCCCCCTCTCCTCCAGGGGGAGGCCCGCCGGCCAGCGGCCTCTCCGAGGCGAGGCGTCTGTTGCTCCCATCGCACTTGAGGAACCACATCCCAGATCTAACTTCGAGCACCCGGAAAAGTGTCGACAGAGTGTCGAAAGAGTGTCTCCCAGGGCCCGACACGTGAAAACCCTCGAGTTGGGGGGTACTTTTCTGGCGCTCGAAATTCTCTCTGGAGATCAAGGCTAGAGTAGGTTGGAACATCATGAGGCGAGGGAGTGGGAGGAGGAGCGCCCCCCCCCCCCCCCCCGGGGTGGTTCGGGAGCGAGGCGCGAGGACGGAGGCGGCCACGCGAGCGACGGAAAGCAGGGCTGCAGTAGGGGCCCTTCCACAAGAACCCTTCCACGGGAAACCCAACCCCGAACCCCAGGGCGTCAGTTCATTTTTGGCGTGAGAGCGTCACGCTTTCAAGAGCAAAACCATCGAAATCCCAGAAACCGGGAGCACCCTGGAGGCAAGCAGGGTGTTTCTTGGCCTGGGTCTCCACTGTAGATCGTCATTGCGGGGACCTGCCTGGAGCCACTCTCGTTCGCCTGCGAAAGGGGGGCAGACTTCTGGGGGTCAGAGTCAGCGAAGGGCAAACTAACCGGAGCACGGACTTACTGAGAATATTACTGGTCAGGACAACATCAAGTCCCAAAGGAGTTGACAAAGACAGGCAAAGGAAGACATAGACAGATGTGGCCCCGAACCAGGACAACGCAAGATATTGAGCTTACCTTTTCCTGACCCCCCAAATCCCGACCCCTATGAATTCACATGCGAAGGACACTCGATCCACTCATGCGTCGATGCCGCGCCGAACTTCCATCGACCCCAGCCGAACGCCAAATCAGAGTCGGACAGATCCGTCAGGCGGACCCCGGGGAGCCCTCCGAAACGAGCCTCTGTGAAAGGGGGGGTGTGGTGAAGAGAACTTTTGTGCAGCTTGTCGCGGCGGCGGCCACGGCGACACGCTATGCCTTGTGAACGGATTCCTCCTCCTCCTCCTCCTCCTCCTCCTCCTCCTCCTCCTCCTCGGGTCGCTCCGCTCGGCGGGCCAGGAAGGCTCGAAGGGCTCGGGACGTGGACGCATGGGGGCCAGAAGTTGATAGCGCGCTTCGAGCAGGGACCGACCGTCCGGGCATTCGTACAAGCCTACTGCGGCATTCACGAATCCAAACAAACATGCCCTACCAACAAGGCCAATGATCTTAGAACATAAACCCGATATGCTAAAACAAAGCAGTCTCAACCAGACATGCGCTGGAAACGTTAGTGCAGACCACATGAGGTTCTCAGAACATTCTTGGGTGGGCCTATCGGCCGGCTGGCCAGGACGCCTCGCCACGGCTTGAGGGGCATTGACAGCGCGCCGCGCCGAAGATCCGGTGGGCCGGAACCGGCGGCGCGTCACGCTGTAAGCCAAAGTCCCCGACCGTCCGGGAGAGGGAGTCTCGGGCACGACGGCGCGGCGGCTTCTCACGCCGAAGGAGGCCTTCTGAGAAGCTCTCTGAGCCTTCCCCGAAGACGCAACAAAAGACCTCTCAGAAGGCGCGAGGGCTTCCGAGCAGTCCAGCCGCCTTCTGAGAAGGCCTCATCCTTCCCACTTCCCCCCCTCGCTCGCCGCCGACGTGCGCGTCGACGCGAGGGGGCGAGGCGCGCGAGCGCGACCTGACGCGGGCGCGGCCGCCGCGCGCAGCGCGTTCCCGCGGGTCGCTCCCCCCCCCCCCTCTCTGCGATCCTGAGGGGGGAGGCGGGTCCCGAGGGAGGCGGCGGGTCCCGGACCCCGGGGGGCCTCCCCCGGGGCCAGCGCTTCCTCCCGCATCGCCTTCTGGGGCCCCTGGAGGGCCCCTGGAGGGCCCGAGCTCGGTGGAAGACCTCGGGGCCCGCTGCCCCCCCCTGGCGACGTCGAGAGACGCCGCTCACGGGCTCTTCTGGCACGGCGCCCCGAGGGGGGGCGCGGCTCTGCCACGAGCAGCGAGCACGTCCGTGTCCGCGCCTTCGCGGTCTGGCCTCCGGGGCGTGATCCCACTGATGCGCGGTCACTTGGATACTCCGCGCATGGAGCATCCGCGAAAAACGCTCAGTATCCGCGGAGTCGCGGCCCAAGGGCCCGGCCGGAGAGGCCACGGAAATGGGTATGATTTTTCGCCCGCGGTCGTCGGATCGAAGGCGCCAGCACTCTCGGTATACCCCAGGGCCACTCCGACGATGGACGCGGCGGCGCAGCTGAGCAGTATGGAGAAGCCGTGGACCTTGCGCTCGGAGGAGGGTGTGGGGAAGGAAGAGGAAATTACTGTTTTCTTCCGTCGGGGGAAAACCGTGTTACCCGGGTGGAGGGGGGCGACGCGGTCGGGGGGGTAACGGTAATGGCGTGCATGCACCCGCCAGGGTGGGTCTGCGCCGCCAATACATCAATCGCCTGTGTGCACCGCAGTCTCTGTGCACACGACAATGCCCAACGCCTGCGTGCAACACAGCGCCGCTTGTGTACACAAGAGTACTTCCGTACGCGATAGCAGCAGCGTGCACCACAGCACCACGTCGCCGGTGCACACCACCGTGCGCAACAACGCCTGCGTACACCACGAAGCCTGTGTGCAAGAACATCCTTGTGTACACCAAAGCGCCGGTGTACACGGCAAAAAGCATGTGCACCACAACGCCTGCGCACCACAATGCCTCGTGCACCACAGCGCCTGTGCGCACACCACAACGTCAAACGTGCGTGCCAGCGGGTACAGTAGTAGCTTGCGAGCTCCACGTAGGAAGAGGTGTGACCCGGCGGGGGGGAGTTGGTAGGAGGTAGGAGTAGAAGTAGGGGGGCGGTCGGTGGGGGAAGGTAGGTCCGTAGGTAGGTCAGTGTCGTGACAACTTGGAAATTGGTTCCTGACACCGCATGGATCGTTCAATCTTGAACGAGCTGCGCAACCAGAAACTCTGGGCCCAATCTTGAACCACGGTTTCGCACCGCGGATTCGTTTCTGCGAATCCTGGGGCCCGAAAGGGCCCCCCCCCCGGGCGCGTCGCAACCTTGACCCCCCGCGCTGGGGTCGCCGCCGCGCCTTCTCCGTGCCAGCGAACTGTTTGCGGCCAGAGGCAACAACAAGCAGCAACGAGAGCTCGCAGGCCCCCCCCTCAACAGTGGGGCCACCGGGCTGTGAAAAATGCTACTATCTTGCTCCCTCCCCCTTCCCACCTCCTACTCCCCCTCCGCCTCCTCCTCATCGTCCTGCCCCTCCTCCACTGCTATCCTTTTGCTCCACCGCATCGCTTGTGTACACCACAATGCCTGGGTACACCACAGCAGCCGTGTGCACCACAGCGCCTGTGTACACCGCAGTGCATGCGTGCATCATATGGCCTGTGAACACCGCAATGCCTGTGCACACCGCAGCCACCATGTGCACCGCAGCGTACGCGTACGCCAGAGTGCCTGTGTGCATCACAGCGCCCATGTACACCAGAGTGCACTGGCCCTGCGTGCACGTCGATGCCTGCGTGCGCACGAGCGCCTGTTCACTCCTGACAATGCCCCTTGGATGGTGCACGGATTCGCGTTTGTACCGGTCCCCAAGCGCTACCGTTACGGAAGGGGGGGGGGTCTGGGAGGGGGGGGCGGGGGGGGTACCACGTGTTAACCCTGGGCCTTACAAGAACACGGACGAAACGGGGGAGGAAGACCTGGGGAAACCAAAAGGTACTGATACCGCTACTCCCCAGACCTCTCATGGGGTGCATCTTGACCAGGATCCGAAGCGAATCCTCCAGCGGTGGCGACGAGGACCTCCCAGGATGCCCAAACAGGGGGACAGCGAGGGCAGGGTAGAGGTCTGGGCACCTCTTCCCTCTCCGAGGGCCAGAATGTGTGCCCAAGCTGTGCCAACGACCCTGCGCTGCGCTGCGCCCTCCCGTCCCGAGCCCCCTCGCCAGGAGCCCCTGCAGACCTGCCTTGCCCCCCCCCTGTGCGCGAAGCGACCCCCCCCAGACCATGAGGATGAGAGGGAGGAGGAGGAGAAGGAGGAGGAGGAGGAGGAGGAGGAGGAGGAGGAGGAGGAGGAGGACCGACGAGCGCCCCGGGGGCCCGCCATCCCCCGGCGGCGAGGCCCGTGCTGCAGGCGACCGCCCTCCGTCCTCCGCGCTCCATGAGGCAGCTGATCCAGCGACGGCCCCGCTTCGGGCGATGCACCGGCGATGCGCGAGGCCGACGCCGGCGATGCCTCGGCGACGTCGACGTGAAGCAACTCGGGCTCCACATCGAGCCGCATCGGAGATGCATCGGCGGTGCATCGGCGATGCATCGGCGATGCGGCGCGGTCCTCCGGCCCCGCCTGCTCCGACCCCATGTGGGAGGCCTGGAGCATCCGCCCTCCATCCGCGCAGCTGCTGCTCAGAGGTCTGGCTCGGCCCAGGGGACCTGACACTGCGTGTCGAGCGAGAGCCCCCCCCCCGGTGCGAAAGGAGCCAACTTCTCTATAGATGCCCGTGGAGCTGGTGCAACCTCCTACACTCGTGTGCTATGCGCTGAGAAAAGATCACGCGCGAGCCTCGTTCCGAGAACGCACGGGCCTCCGCCCCTGCGGTTGCCATACGTCATCCAAGCAGTGCTTGCACTGGGGCTCTCCCTGGTGTTGAGACGTAACTGGGTGGGCATGGCGCGGTCTCGCCTGGCGGGCGGCCTTTTGGCGCCTCGTGGGCGCCCCCGGTCCGCTGGCTGGGTGCGCCGAGGTGTCGCCTGGTGAGCTGCCTTGGGCGCCTCAAAACATAGTCCCCAGACTATGTTTTGACTATTTTTGGGTACTCCCCCTGTAGAGGGACAGGCCCGACTTAACACCAGCCACGAAGGCCGCACCTGGTGCGGGCGATCTCTTGCCCACTCGCTCTATGCAGTGCCGCTAGGCGCTGGCACGCGGGCCCCTCGAGCCGCTTGGCTCGAAACGACCAGCGCCCCCCCAGCATCCAGCTCGAATCTCTGTTTTCGAAGGAGAAGTGGGAGCGGGCAGCCCGAATCCAACACTCGTGCTCGTGAACAGCATGCGTGCTCCTGGCTCAGCAGCAAGCTTGTCCTGCAAACGTGGCCGATACTCTGGTCACCCATGTGCAAAGAGGGCGAGAGAAGGCGCTCCCCTGATGCCCGCAATGAGCAGAGCCCGACACTGGACCAGGATCCCAAGCTCCTGCGACAGCCGGGGCGAGACCAGGTGGTGACGCGCTCCCGGTTTGGCCCGCCTGTCGGCCTCCCTCCTCTTGAGCAGGGACCGACTGTCCCGGCATTCCTATAGTCATACCACGAAATGTTCTTAGAACCCTCAAATGTTCTAAGAACAAAAACAATGTTCTTAGAACATAAGCCCGATGTGATAAAACAAGACAGACTCCGCCAGAAATGTTCTAAGAACATTTCATGGAAACCACGAAAGGTTCTTAGAACATTGTTTGATAGGGCTATAGGCGAGCCAGGACGCTTCGCCGCTGCTTGATCCTCGTCGTCCTCCCCCTCCCCCTCCCTCCACTCCACTCCTGAGGCCACCGGCAGGGGGGCCGGGCAAGCTCAAGAGGAGAACCACCGACCCTGGCGACACACCGCCGCTGGATCGGCCAGAAGCGTCCGACATCGGGGGCTGCCTGGCCTCCTCTCGGCGATCAAGGGGCGACTGGGGGGTCGATGCATACCCCTCCCTGAGCCTGTCCCCCCCCCCCCCCCAGCGCTGCCCCCGGTTTTCGAGGCACGGATCGGCTCTCCGGCGACCGCTCGGGACGCTCCCACCGCCCCGGAGCGCTCTCGGCCAGGCGCAGCCGCTGAAGGCATGCCCCAAGGGCGGGGACACCGCCGAGAGCCAGCGAGAGCAGCCGAAGACATCGAGCCTCGGACACGCTCGAAGCCATGCGGCAACGGTGCCCCTGGGGTTAGGTCGGGCCTGTCCCCCCACAGGGGGGTTTTCGACGAAATACAACACAAACACCCCAAGCATGCCCTGAAAATGCTCCAAGAATGGTAAGGTCAAAAAATCGTCCCCAGACCTTTCTTGGGAGGACTAGCTTGGAATCCTCCCCCCTGTAAGGGGGGGGGACAGGCCCGACGTGACCCTGACAGCGGCCCTGGCGCCGGCAGTGGCCCCCTCGCTGGGCCGCGCACATGCCGCCGGTCATGATTTGCACCCCCCCCTCTTGGACACCCCCCCCTTGGCCGCTCCCGACCCTCTTTTTTCGCGTCGGGCCCCAGGCGCCCTCACGGATCGATGCAGCGCGAGGGGCCCCGCAGACAGATGCCCAGACTGGGTCGGCCACCCTCCCTCGCTCGACCCTCGCCCCAGCCGCGGTCGGCCCGCCGGCGCCGCGCGCGCGCGCGCGCCCTCGGCTCTCCACCGACGGCGGCGGCGACTGGCAGCCACGGCCGACGTCGGCGGCGACGGCGACTGGCAGCGACGACCGATCGTCGACGACGACGACGGCCACGATCGATCGATCTCTCGCCCTCCTTCCCTCCCCCGATTGCTGCATGCCGTCCTCCGGAGACATGGGATGCGGCCCCCCCCCCCCAGCTGCTGTTCATTTGCTGAGCACTTGCGCGGAGAGCCGAACCGAACCGACTCCCCTCCGCCCTAGGGGCCACCTGGATGGGATACTGGTATCCCCCTTGGAGATGCATCCTGGGACCTCCTGTGACCTCCTGGGGCCTCCTGAAGCTTCCTGGGGCCTCCTGGAGCCTCCCGCCCAGGACCTCCTGGGACCTCTTGGGACCTCCCAGGGCCCCCTTTGGGCCTCACGAAGACTTCCGGTGCCTCCTGGGGCCTCCCAAGGCCGCCTGCTGGTCGACCTAACCACCCCCGCCCCTCCTTCGCTCCTCCGCTCCCCTTTCCCCCCTCCCTTCCTCTCCCCTTCCCTTCCCTTTCCCTGCACCTCCTCCTCGCTTGGGCGGCCAGACGCCCAGAGGCTGGCCGGCCCTCCGGGCGCGCCCACATAGGGCCCCCGCGCGCACGCCGGTGAAGGAGAAGCGCCCGCAGGAGACGCCGTAGAAGGGGTGCTGTCGGGGGGGGGAAGGACGAGGAGGAGAGGAGGGGGGAAGAGAGGAGGCGGGAGCAGGAGGAGGCGGGATGAGGAGGAGAGAGGAGGCGGAGGAGGTGGGGCCCTCAGCGAGGACGAGGAGGACGGCAGCCGCGGCGCGGGAGCGTTTTTGGAGCGTGCTGCATCCAACGACGCGGGCACACCTCTGGGCAGGCATGCATCGAAGCCCCTACCCAGGCATGGACACGCGCCGCCAAAAGGTTTCACAAACTGTGCACCCGACGGGCCCCCTCAAAGATGAGCCCTCGCCAGCGGCTGGTGCACTATGGGCCCCGCCAGACACAAACATCGGCAGGCGGCTGGCGACGGTCACACATTTTCCTTCTCACACGAAGGGCAATCATTATGACTCCTTCTCAGAGGGAGGAGGATGAGGAGCAGGAGGAGCAGAAGGAGCAGGAGGAGGAGGAGGATCGAGGGAAGGGGGAATGTGGAGGAGGAAGATTGAATGAGGATTGTGTTGACGGAAGGGTCGTGGGGGAATGGTGATGCATTGTGGATCACCCCTGGGCATTGTGCCGTGGTCTTCCTGGGCCGAAGTGCACCCCTCGGCTCTCCCTCACCCTGCTTTCGGGAGTGGGGGTAGCGTCCGAAGCTTCCCCCCTTCAAAGCGGGAGCCCAATTTCCCAAAGGGAGGGGAGGCAGCTTCGGAAGCCCCCACCCCTGCAAACTTGGTAAGCAAACTCTGCCCCTGAGCCCCTGGCAACGGCAACAACGGCTCCCGGCATGAGACTCCCTCGCAATGTACCCGGCCACCTTGCTGTCGCTCCATACCTCCACGCAGTTTACGAAATAATCGCGCTCTCGCTTGGAGCGTTCTCGCGATTTACCGATTTACTCCAACTTCCTTGCCATATATGCACGACTCGCGGTTTCGCCTGGGGCACCCTCGCACACACCGACGATTTAGTCAAGCATCGCTTGCCGTACCCAGGAGCTGACATAACAAAAATGCTCCCCCCGGGTGCTACACCAACGGCTGTCTCCTGACACGTCCTTGTCACAGTGCAATCAAGATTCGCGCTCTCGCTCTGGACGTCCTGACAATGTACTCAATAGTTCCTGACACCTTGGAAAGGACTTGCGCCCTCGCCTATCAGGAGCCGCGCTCTCGCCTTGGAAATTCCGACCCCTTTATCCAGGAACCGCCCTCTCTCACTGGGCATCCTCTCGACCTGCCCAGGCGCTGCGCTCCTGCTCGGCCTGGCGCTCGCCACCTCGGCGCCGCTTCCGTGCGACTCGCGCTCTCGCCCTCGCCCTCCCTCGCCCCCTCTGGCGCGTCAGGGAGTCCGCACCCGCCCGTGGGAGCCGCCGCGCCACCCTGAAGGGGAACTGGGACACACAAATAAATACACACAAATAAAAATATCCCCCATATTTTCCTATATTTTCTGGGTTTTTGTCTTCCCCCCCACTTCCCATATTTTCCCATATTTTCTGGGGAATCAGCGATTAATTGTGTCTGTGTGTTTCTTTCCCTCCTGACACCCGCCCAGCTGGGCCTGCCCGCTGGACACGCGTTTTTGCTCTTTGACCTCCCGCCCGCCCCCCGGCCCCGCAGGGCCCGCCCGTTCGCCCTCGCTCGGGCGCCCACGCGTGCGACATTTTCCGTGCCCGGCCCGCCCCACGAGGCGCGCCCGCCCGACCAGAAGGCGTGGGCCCTCCCGCCCGCTCGCCCCCAGTCGTCCCCGGGGTGCGGGGTCCTCGCGGTGGAGAGACGGCGCCCCGCGCCGCACCCGCTCCTCCACCATCCCTCCGCCTCCTCCCTCCTGCCGTCCCTGCCTCTGCCCTCCGCGTGTCCATGTCGGCGCACCCCTCGCACGTCTGGTGGCTCCACAGGGAGCTCCACCGAAGGCCCCGGAGGTGCTGCTCGCACGGTGGCGTCGCACCCATGTGGGCACACTCCTCACACGTTGCGTGGCTTCACAGGGAGCTCCACCGAAGGCCCCAGTGGCGCAGTTCGCATGGTGGCGTCGCACCCGATTCGGCACACCTGCCACACGTTTCGTGGCCTCACAGGGAGATCCATCGAAGGCCCCAGTGGTGTAGTTCGCACGGTGGCGTCGCGCTCGATTCGGCACACCCATCACACGTGTCGCGGCCACTCATGGAGGAGCTCTACCGAAGGCCCCAATGGCGCAATTCGCATGGTGGCGTCGCCCGCATCCGCTTGTGTCCTCCTCATTCACGCCGCAGTCCTTTTGCTGGCGTGGTGGCTGGCAACGCCCACCACATGGATGACCATCTCGACGCTGAGCCCGCAACTCGATGGGTCCAATTCTGAAAAGAAGAAAGGCATGATATTGCAAAAGGCTTCTGTCAGGAACAACGTGCCATGATCCGGCCATGTTGCAAGCGGCCGGAATCACGCGCTGCCGCACCACTAGAGGATGACAATGATGATGGTGAGGAGGTGAAAGGGTAGAGGAGAGAGGAGGTACTGAACCAAAGAGAGCGCCGTCGAATGCACTAGCGCGCTCCTGCTGGACTGGAGAGGAACTCGGCTGGGGCACATTACGCATTAAAGGATGAGCCCGAGTTCAGGAAGGAGGGCGGAGCAGAAGGGAGGAGGGAGGATCGAGGATCAGGGATGGGCGAGGATGGGAGAGGCACGTATGGATGAGGCAGGAGGGTGGGAGAGGGACTTGGAGGATGGGATGATCAGCAGGAGTAGCTTCAAGAGGAGGGAAGGCAGATGTATACTACATCTGGAGAACCACCGTACACAAGCGGAGCATCTCGCGTGGCTGCGCTGGGCCTCGACATGTGGCCCTACGCTTCCCCAACAAACGGAACATATTCCCCTCCTCTGGCCATCGCTCGGACGTCCATTCCCTGTGTTTTTTTTGGTTTCGTGCGTGTTTTTTTCGCCGAATGATCAAGGATGCTCCTCGATGGGCCTCGCCGAAGGAAAAATGCACACGTCCGAGCGATGCCAAGTCCTCCCCATGACCCCTCCACCTCTTGCGGGTGTGCGCGAGCGGCCGGTGATCCCTGCACCACAGGCCCGCTCCCTGCCGCCCACCACTTATCGGGCGATCCGGTGTCGCGGCGCCGGCGATCGCTCCGCGCCAGAGGGCCTGCGTCAGGCTGCGAAGCGGCAGCGGAACACCAGGGAAGCGGGGGAAGGCGAGGACAGAGCATGCTCGGGCACGCGATAACATGGCTCACAGATCTATGGATCTGGCGCGTGGGCGCCGGATCCAGGGATCGGGGACTGCACCCCGAGACATGAGGGCAGTGCCGCCCTGTTCGGCGACGGAGTGCGTCGATCTCGTATAGAAGTGGGGCCCGTCGCTACCCCACGCGCCTTGCTCCGCGTGTTCGTTTCCGCGGTGTTCCCCACATCTCCCCAATCCACCCCGTTTTCCCTTCACTGCCTCCGCCTTGCCTCTCCATCGAGGAGGGGAATGGGGGAGCGAGGACGCGGGGCAAGAGAGGAACGTGAGGGGAGCAAAGAGGAACGCGAGGGGGAGGATGGAAGGGGGATGGATGGAGCGAGAGGGGGCTCAGTCAGGGGTACGGTTTGGTAGCTGCTCGTCCCTCCACCCCTCCTCGTCATACGACTGCCTCCTTTCGTCGTTGTCCTCCTCCTTCTCTTTGACGTTGCGCCAGCTTGAACCCTGGGATTGTAGCGTTCTCCTCCTTCTGCCCCTTCCTCTTCTTCCTCCTCCTCCTCCTCCTCCTCCTCGTCCTCCTTCTCCTCCGCGTTCCCGTCGCCATTCTCTCCGTACCGCCCCTCCACTCCGCTGCCCTCCTCCTCCTCGCTCTTGCTCGAGACGTTTTCTGTTCTTGTCAGTGACAGCTGCGCGGATGGAAGGTGGCTCCTCTTCGAGACTGGGCTCTCGCGGGAGGCTCCGACCACCGTGATGGCCAGACGTGCCATCCTGTGCAGCAGTCACACGGATGGAGAGCCATCCCTTCTCAATTCAACACTTCTGAGGGGGGGGCGTTTGGGAGGGCGGGTGCACTGCAGCGTCGTTCACGCATCCCGAGTTCACTCTGGCCCTGCGCCTCCTCCTCCCCCTCCTCCTCCTCCTCATCCTCCTCCTCCTCTGAACCTCTGCCTCCTTCTCTCCCTTCCTCCCCAAAGCCTGGGGCGCATCATGACTGTCTATTTGCTGTGCAAGTGCGCTGTCCCGCGCTTCACCCCTGCGAGTCCGCCAGGGGTGAAGCGCGGCACGCGGATCCCCCCCCGCCGCTTCCCGACGTGCGCCGGGCCGGCGCCTTACAGAAGCAAGCGCCGTCCACGCAGACCCCGTTTTCCCCGCAGAGCGGGTCGCAGACCGCTTCGCCCTGGGCGGCCACGGCGCCAACGACAGCGAGGCGCCGCCGACGCCGACGACCTCGCAGACGACCACGCCGGCGACGGCGACGGCGACGACGATGAGGACGAGGACGGCAGCGGCGGCGACCGCGGCGACGACGGGGCGACAACTGCCACGGCGACCACGGCATGGACGGCGGCGACAGCGTGGAGCGCGGGGGGACGAGGGGCGGGGAACTCAGGAGGGGTGGTGCAGCGCAGCCCCGCGCGCCCCCAGGGATGGTATGATGCGAAGGACGGGGAGGAGGAGGTCTGCGGGCCTTGGGTGAGGCTGCCTTTAGAGCATGCCCCATCGATGCCCTTTCCATTCGCCGCCTGGAACCGCCCAGACGTGCCCGCGGGCTCTTGACCCTCTGTCTCTCTCTCTCTCTCTCTCTCTCTCTCTTCTTCTCTTGCTTCCCTGCTTCCGCTGGTACTGTCACCGCGAAGATGCTGCGCAACTCGCTGCCGAGCAACATAAAGAGGAAAAGGAGGGGGATGAATGGGCAGGAGGACGCATGGATTTTGAATTGTTTTGGAGGTTAGCGGTGCTTTCAGGGCCTCTGTGGTCCGAAGGGCGAACGTGAGGATGGGTGGGGGCATGGGATGAAGATGAAGACTATGATGGGTATGGGAAGATGTGTAGGATCAAGATGAGACGCGATAGGACGAGGCCGAGGCCTGCCACACCTAGATCAGATAGTATCGGAGGGCCGCACTGCATCGCCGATGCATCGGCGACGTCTGGACGTACAGATCGCGACCCTCCGCTTCCATGTGCTCCAGCCCCATCTGGGCAGCCTGGAACAGAGGATGAGTAGTATGAGGAGGAAGAGGAGGAGGAGGAGGGGGAGGAGGAGGAGGAGGCGGAGGAGGACGAGGATGGGGAGGAGGAGGAGGAGGAGGAGGAGGAGGAGGAGGAGGAGGAGAGGAGGAGGAGGAGGAGGAGGAGTCTGTCTGTCTGTCTTCCCCATTCGAACGATCTCAAATGTCACACATGCACGCTCTGGGCCTAGGCTCTTGTAGCCGATCTGATCCTGAAGGTGTGCTCACACTCCCCAGATTACCCACACTTATTCAACAATTTGCTGTCGATGGGGGTCCTGGGAGCGGTGGAACGGCGCCCAGCGCTTCGCTGGCACGCCCCACGCGGGGCAGGCCGATCTGGTCTTGGGACGAGGCGGGGCCACTGACCCCCTGGGCGAGGGGGACACAAAGGCCACTCCCCTCACCCATGGACGAGTGGCTCCAACCACTTCCCCCTCGTCCCGAAAAAAATACTTCTCATCTTTAACCAACCTAACCAGTTTGCCCCTAGGGGCACGGCCAGGCTTGTTGTTGAAGCCCGAGGCCCTAAACAACTGATGCAAAGCGTGCTCTACTGTGATTACTTTGACTGCGGCGGCGCCTGCTTCATACACGAGAGGAAAACGAACGACGCGCGCCCCTGCCTTGTCATTTGCGCTCTGCTCGGCCCCCGCGTCCCCGAGAGTGTCCCAGAAGCCCTTCTGCTCCTGGAGCGGCGTCTGCTGGGGTGTCTCCACGGAGTGTGATAGATCCGAAGGCCTTGACCGTGATCCTCGATACTCCCCCGTCCTGGGTGTTCGACGTGCCGCATTCCTTGGTCCACAGGCTGGTCGGCATGTCGGTGTTCTTCATCATCAGCAGCAATCGATCGGGCACCTCCGAAAGGTGCTTGGCTGATGCTCGAGCCAACCGCTGTAACCGCCAAGAAGTGCGGCAAAACTCTGTAATTCTGGTGCGCCCACGCCCTCCTTATGATTGCCTGTGCCACTTTTGCAAGCGTCTGAACATACCCAGAAATATGCAGCTGTTCGCTTTTTCGAAGTCCACGAAGCAAACACCACAACACAAAGTACTCTGGCAAGGCCGATATATATATGTATATATATAGTATTGCTCCTGTTCGTAGCCTATCCCGTGCTTTTTGTCTGCATTCGTCTCTTGTTGGCCCAGTTCGGGAAGAACGCCGCCCTCAGAAACTTTGCACCGATGCTGTCTGTCGGTGCCACTCTCCACAACCGTAACTTCCATATTTCCCGTCTGAAGGCAATGATGTCCTCCTCTGTCTCCTCTGCGGCCACGGTGTTATATTGTTCAGGTAAGTCGTGCACAATTTGAGCCATAGCTTCGGATTGTACGACCTGCGTTGATGCTCCACCCTCTTCTCCCGTCAAACTCATTCTTTCTTTCTGCTCCGAAGTTGTTCCGCTCGTCGTAAGTTGCCTATAAGATCTTCGTAGTGGACCACGTCTTCTGCACGCGAGAAGTCTGGCTGTTCTATGCATCTCGTGAAAATCATTGTTTTGTTCCCCCGATCCTCCCCGAAAGCACAAACTCGATCCTGTATTCTCTGCCAATGCCTGTTTATGTTGTCTCAACTATCTGCTCAGGGTGGCGATCCGAACTGTAATATTTAACTGCTGCGGATCTTCTTGCTCGGAGTATGCCCATGAAAGCTGTTCCCTGAGAAGGCGTCGTTGCCCGAGTAACTTTTGCTGAATATTAGTATGTTGCGTATTGTTCATGGAACTCTGTGTAACCCTCCTTTTGTATACAAGTAGCTTCTGCCCCTTTGACCAGTGCGTCCGCCAAGAGTTGTTTTGCCTCCACTGCCAAGCTGCGTTGGCCGATTTTGTGCCGTATACTGCCTTCGTGAACTCCTTTCGTCTGTATCCTCGTTGTAGAAGTGCGGTTGCTGCCGGTTGTTCGATTCCCTGCGTATTTGTTCTATTCGGCTCGGGGATGAGATTCTCTCGCCAACAGAAGCTCGCTCCAAGAGGCAGACGATCCCATTTTCTTCCCCACCGATGAGGTTGTAGCCGCCGCATGCTTCTTCTGAAAGTAGTGCACCACTTGACTGCTGATAGTAGTGCTCCGGGAATAACAATATAGTCCAGCGTTCGCGTCGTTCCATTTGTCCTTCATCGTGTTGACAATACACAGTTCATGTGCAGCAAGTACAGGCTTAAGTAAGGTAGCAGATCCTCTCTCTTCTTCTCCATGCCCGAAGGGGCCTATCATGTCGCTGACCTCCTCGGTGAAAGCAGAATTGAGGTCCATCGTAACCACTGGTACCCATCTTCCTGCCAACGGAGCTCATAGTTTTGTGAGCCATCTAATCACTGCCTCACAACATTGCATGTACTTGAGCAGTTGTTCCTTTTTCTCTCGTGCTGGGCGGGCAGTAGAGCGAGATGAATGCTACTCTGACTGTTTGGCGCTCTATCGTGCAACAAAGCACTCGTCTTGAAAGGCTTTTTGGGCTCGTCATTATTCCACGAAGATGCGACGGGCGGAAACATCTGCTGTTGAACCAAATGCTGATGCCACAAGATTTGTTGGTCAACGCTCCCGCCTTCCACCCGTTAGTGTATCCCAACAATGAAGAACACTTGCGCCTCTCTCTCTCTCTCTGTCCCTGATGCTGCTTCTCCTGCGTGCGGATGAACGTGACCACTGTGTGGTTGGCTAGCTCCTATAGAATGTCCTGGGCTCGAGAGAGGGTGGCGCTGTATGCTGCGCCGCTGAGCACTCTGACATGGCTGAATGCTGTGTGTGCACCTGACATGTGTCAAGATTCTGAAGCGGCGCGCGTCTCCTGGAAGCCTCATAGGGCCGTTTAGGAGGAGGAGGAGGCCGAGGAGGACAGGGTAGGAGGAGGAGGAGGAGAGGAGGAAAGGAGAGGACGAGGGAGGAGGAGGAGGGAGGAGGAGGAGGAGGAGGAGAGGAGGAGGAGGGAGGAGGAGAAGGCGGAGCAGGAGGTGGGGGGACGGACTTCAGGGGGGCGGATGCCCGAACATCCTCGTGGAGACTGCAGGGAGGGGCAGCATGCGCGGATGATGGGGGGAGGGGGGGGGGGAATTGGGACAGGAGAAAGCGGGGAGGCGGAGGCGGAGGAGGACGGGGTTGGAGCATGGCTCCAAGCCTGGCCGAGGCAAGCGCGCCCCGCCCCCCGCCGAAGCGCCGACCCTGGAACCCCCAGGACGACAGACCTCGCCGGCCGAGGGTTGCGAGGCAATTGTTCCATGCTGCGTTTTGCGAAGACGCCCCGGTTCTCCGACCGCGTGCCCCATGGACCTGCGCGAGTAGGAGGACTCACTCCACTCGCTCGCCCGCGGCAGCGAGCGCGGTGCCAAGGCCAGCAAGTTGCCCCAAAGGGGGCCCTACAAGGCCAATAAACTGCCACCCCGCGCCCCCCCCCGCCGCTCCGCGCCGGCGCGCCGCCCGCCACCGGCAGTCTCGCCGCGGGCTTGGCCGCCCGGCCTCTGCTCTGCGCCGCCGCTTCTGCGCTGTTTCTTCCGCGCCGCCGCCTCCACGCCCCCTTCCCCTCCTACTCCTCCTCCTCCTCCTCCTCCTCCTCCTCCTCCTCCTCCTCCTCCTCCTCTCCTCCTCCTCCTCCTCCTCCTCCTCTTTCTCCTCCTCCTCCTCCTCCTCCTCCTCTTCCTCCTCCTCCTCCTCTTTCTCCTCCTCTATCATCTTTCTCCCTCCTCCTCCTCCGTCCTCTTCTTCTTCTTCTTCGTCTTCCCTCCGTCTCCTCTTCCATCCTCCTCCTCCATCTTCCTCCTCCTCCTCCTCAGACCCTGACGACTGCAACGTCCTCAGACGTAGCCGTTGCCTCATCCTCCTCCTCCGCCTCCTCCTCCTCCTCCTCCTCCTCCTCCTCCTCCTCCTCCTCCTCCTCCTCCTCCTCCTCCTCCTCCTCCTCCTCCTCCTCCTCCTCCCCCTCCGCCTCCCCCTCCTCCTCCTCCTCCTCCTCCTCCTCCTCCTCCTCCTCCTCCTCCTCCTCCTCCTCTCTCTCCTCTTTCTTTCGGAGCTGCAGCGGTTGGTCCCATAAGCGGGGCCGCCGAAACCAGCGCCGCGCGCGCCGCCGCGGCCGGGCCGCGGGGCGCTCACGGCGCGGGCGGGCCCCCCGCGAGCGACCAGCAAGGGACTGGCAAGCCAGCTCCCCCGCTCCGTTTTGCCGGCCGGAAACACCCGACCACCGACAGAACGGGCAGGGGCCAGGCAACACCAGACCCCGCCACCCACCCCAGGGGCCCGCCACGACACGACAGACGCGACAGCGACGGCGACGACACGACGGGGGGGAGACGGACCCCCTGGCACACGACTCCCACGGGGGACACCTGGCTGGGAAGCCAGGCTCCCGTGGGAGACTGCGTGGCCGGGGGCCCCCTGGGAAGGGGACCCCGCTTTGGGGGCCATCCCAGGTGCGGGGGCTTGTGCCCCGAAGGCCCAGCGGTCCCCGCCTCCGCTAGGGGGCGCTTTGGCCCGACACCCCACTTATGGGGGTGCCCCTCCGGGGCCCTCCTCCCTCTCCTCCTCCAACTCCTCCTCCTCCTCCTCCTCCGCCGCCTCCTCCTTCTCCCCCCTCCTCCTCCTCCTCCTCCTCCTCCTCCTCCTCCTCCTCCTCCTCCTCCTCCTCCCCCCTCCTCCTCCTCCCCCTCCTCCTCCTCCTCCCTCCTCCTCCTCCTCCTCCTCCTCCTCCTTCTCCCCCATCCTCCTCCTCCTCCTCCTCCTCCTCCTCCTCCTCCTCCTCCTCCTTCTACTCCTCCTCCTCCGCCGCTGCTTCAGTTGCAATGGAAGGGCCGCCCCCAACTCCCCCCTTCGCCCAATGGGGGCCTCTGGCGTCTCCGCGTTGGTGGGTTGCGGAGCCGGCGCGGGGCCTGCGGGCTGGGGGGGATTGCGTTGGAGGGCGACGACGCTGATGAAACCGAAAGACTGCCAGCAAAAGACGGCGCCGCAGCTAGCAGACTTTTTAGCCCAGCTGAAAAGGACGGGCTGACAGGCGGTCGGGGGGGAGGGGAGGGACGGGCCGGGGGGGGAGGGGGGCAAGCCGAGGGGGGTAGGCGAGACAGAAGAGGGATGGAGGGAGGGAGGGAGGGAGGGAGGGAGGGAGGGGGGGAGGGGAGACAAGCCGAGGGGGGGAGGCGAGAGAGAGAGAGGAGGGAGGGAAGGAGGGAGGCAAGGAGGGAGGGAGGGAGGAGGGGAAGGGCTGAGGAAGGGAGGGGGGGGAGGGACGTCGAACCGAGGGCGGGGGGGGGAGGGGGAGAGGCGTGAGAGAGAGGATGACGACCCGAGGCAGGGGAGGCAGAGGAGGCGGAAGAGAGGAGGGGGGGAGGGATGGCAAGCCGATGGGGGGATGGATGACGAGCCGAAGGCCGGGGGGAGGGAGAGCAGGCGGGAGAGAGGAGGGAGGGAGGGAGGGATGACTAGCCGAGGAGTGGGGGGATGACGCGCCGATGGGGGGTGCAAGGGGGGGGGGGGCGGGAGAGAAGAGTGGTGGGAGGACACAGCGCAAGACAGCGGCAAGGAAAGACTTGGCCACAGCCATTTCTCAGAGAGGGGGGTGCTGTATCACAACCGCAAGGCGCACAGTCTGGACAAAGGCTCCAGGCGGCTGGGGAGGGAGAGAAGAGGGGCAGGGCTGAGGAGGGGGCGGACCGGGTGGATGAAGAGCTTACGGAGTTTCTTGAAGTTCAGCCAGACAAACTTCAAACGACGCTGGCCTCTTGACTACACATGCGACCCTGGGGAAATTCCATGCCACACTCACAATGAGAAGCGCGCGGTCCTCCACCGCCCTCTGCACCGGGCAGCACAGGCCAGGCCGCACCCAAAGCCGCATGCAGCGGGCTCGAGGAGGGGGAGGATTTTTGTTGACATCCGCTGCCACCGGCCCCCTCTACAGGGGGCATAACATTGAGACGTCGATTATGATCCCAGACCGCTTGGGGCGGGATCCCTTGCCCACCAGTCTCCAGCTCTCGCACTTCTGAGGCTGTGCGAGAGGAACGCAAACGGCCGCAAGTTTAGCGACCCTGCCACCAGTGGTAAAAGAGCCACACCGTTGGCAGATGCAAACGAAAGAAGAATCACTGCAATCAACTACAACGCATGTGTGACCCAGATCGCGGAGCGATCGAGGCTGAATGCGAGGCAGCAGAGTGCAGAAACAAGGCTAAGGTTTCGACAGCGAGGAAGCGCATCGAAGACAACGAAAACATTGCCCGAATGAGCGGGGCGGTTGTCCAACTAGCTCCCATTCTTGGGATGGCCTCGGATCTTTCACACGCGGGGGAGGGGCCTTAGAAACACGAACAACACTCCAAAGGTCGGTCCGAGGCCATCTCTCCATCAAATTGGCGGCCAACCTGGTCACAGCTCTCGAAACGCCACACAAAAATTGGATCCCTTCAGCCTCTGCATCTGAGTGGCGAGGGTGAAGAGCGGCTCCTGCTTCCGCCGCTACATCAGCGGCGTCGTTACCTACGACGTGCAGTCGATCTTCCACCGACAGGGTTTCATCCTCCTGCTGGTGGGCTCGAACCTTGACCACTGACCGCAAACATCCCTGCCCGAAAGAGTCAGCTTGCATCACCAGCCCACTGTAAGGCCGAGGAGGGCGCACTTGGTCCCTTGGAGGTTTCGAAAAATGGTTCACAACCGCAAGGCAATGAGAGCGGAAAACCGAATCCCTACCAGAAGCGACGCAGCAGCAACAGGAGCCGCAAACTCTGCAGCGACACTGGTCTGGGGGAGCGAGCTGCCAAGAGGCCCGAAACATCTAGATAGGATACGTCCAGCTTCGCTGAGCCAGACAACTCCCCAGCCCGATCGAGACAGATCCTTGATAACAGACCGGAAACAGCTGACGTCGCCATACAGCCGACCCTTAAGCTCACGAACCCCAAGGTCAGGCGGAGGGAGGTCTTCCTCGGCAAACGCTTCTGGGAATACTTGGAACTGGATGGCTGCCATGGCCTCGTCAATGCTGAAAGGCTGAGGGACGTCACTGGAAGGGTGCGCGAATAGGCATGTCTCGCAAAGGACATTAAATCCTGGCGGCGACTCGGATGAGGGGGAGGAGGAGGATGAGGAGGAGGAGGAGGAGGTCGTAGGGAGTCCCTGCCTCAGGCCGCAGACTGCTGAAACCACGTGGTGGGCCCCCTGGGTATTCACGTCGATGCAGGCTCCCTGGACCGTTGCCAATCTTTTGGGGGGCATGCCCGGGGTGCCCCGTTCCCTGGCAGGCTGCACGGTGCAGGGGTGCACCGCTAGCAGGGAGACCCTGCTCAGAGTCGTCCACGTGTGTGCGGAAGCTGGGAGGTCGGCGCTGCAGCTGTCAGGGTCAGGCACGCGCACGCCTCCCGCGGCGGGGCCAGACAGAAGGCCACGCGACGGGAGAACTCCTGCTCCGCGCACCTCTCCCCTCCCCCCGCCCCCTCTTGATCCGACGCGCAAAATCCACGTCGCTGGGAGGCAACAGCAAGACGCGCCATACACGGGCCGCATATTTCGCTTTTGTTGCCAATCTGGCACCTCACGTACGTACGCCTCGACCCGCCGACTCACAATGCCAAGATCTTCCTAGCTGCCCCAAGCATGCCGCCCCCATAAGCGGTCTGGTGAGGGCCTGTGCCATCGCCTTCAGATCAGTTCCGCAAGCCGATCGGACAGGCGGCATTTCTGAATCCTCAAATTAAACGGCGGTCTACTTGGAAGAGGAGGAGGAGGAGGAGGGGGACCAATGTAAACCCAAGGCACACCAAAGATGTTGGAATCTACCCTCCCTCACGATGTTGGAATACACCCTCGCTCCAAACTGCCTCTTCACAATACGCCCTTACAGAGATTCATGCCCACTGAAAGAATTGCCCTGTTGGGGCACTGACGTGTGAAAATCCTGAAGCGTGCCAACACATAATTTTCATGACCTCAGCACCACGAGTCAACCTGTCTGCTGCGGGTTGACGGCCCTGACCGTGCCAAACACACGCCCTGGGACTTTCACACCGCGAGTCCACGTAACTGTTGCGCACTGGCAATCGTGAACCACTATACAAAAACATGTCTGGTACGTGAACCATGAGGAACTCCGGCAAATGTTGAAAACGAACGTGCGCGGCGCTGCAGCGAGAACCACATGCTGAAGACCACCCGACCTCAATCCGTGAAACTCTTGCAGTATTTAGCGACAGATATGCCAACGATGAAGCGAGAACCACATTTCGAAAACCATCCGCCTTCAATCCGTGAAGCTCTTGCGGTTTTAACAACGAATGCGCGGCACTAAGGGGACAACCACATTTTGAAAACGGCCCGTCCTCAATCGAAGAAGCTCTTGCAGGTTTTTGACATGAATGTGCGCGGCACTGAGGGGACAACCACGTTTTGAAAACTACCCGCCCGATATCCTTGAACCTCTTGCAAATGTTTAAAGCGAATGCGCCTGGCGCTAAAGGGAAAACCACAACTTGAACACTTCTTCCACAACCAACCCGATCAACGGTGTCCACAACACAGATGAGTCGCCGAACCACGCCGTCCGAGCAAGATGGGCCCGGTGTGAAACAGAGAGGAGGGAGGCCGAGGAGAGGAGAGACGTCGAGCTAACACCCTCTAATGGCCTAATCAGCTGGCACAAATCAGCATCGGCGAGCCACCACTCGCCACATCGTGCCAGACTGAACCCCACCACGGCGGAGAAGCGGGGGATCTGGACATCAGATTTCCGCGCCAATCCCGTCGACTCAACAAGGTGAGCAAGGCTACACTGCGCCACTTTGTGCATGCCGACAAACTCCCGAGTGAAACAGAAGCAGAAACAAACCTGCCAGAAAAGCAGGAAGGAGGAGGCAGCGAGAGCAGGAAGAGGGAATGGAAGAAGAAGAGGAGACAACCACATCTTGAAAACGGCCCGCCCTCAATCCGTGATTTTCAAATGTTCTAAACGGATGTGCGCGGCGCTAAGGCGAGAGCCACATGTTGAAAACCACCCGCCATACATGTGTGAAGCTGTTGCCATGTTTAATACGTTCCAGACTCAGACTTGATAAGAAAATCTTAGGCGAAACGCCCTGCCCGCCCGTCGGTCTGGCCTCGGGGTGCGACAGGCAGGAGCTATTTGCAAGGGGAAGGAATGGAGGAGGAGGAGGAGGAGGAGGAGGAGGAGGAGGAGAATGAGGAGGAGAAACATGAGGAGAAAGATGAGAAGCAGAAGAGACTAGCAAGGGGAGATAGAGCAGGAGAATATGAGGGATGACGAGACGGATTCTGGGCTCGAGTATCAAGGCTTCGAAGATCGCGGTTCTGGGGCGTTTCTGGTACCTTTTTCGGGCCTCCGAGGGCTTCCGAGGGCCCCCAGGCACCTCCGAGGAGCTCTGGAGTTCCCAGGGACCTCGGGAAATCCTGGGAAGGAGGGAGGAGGGAAGCGAGAGGACATGAAGCGACGACATGGAGGAGGAGGGAGGAGGGAGGAGGGAGGAGGGAGGAGGGAGGAGGGAGGAGGAGGAGGAGGGAGGAGGGAGGAGGGAAGCGAGGGGACACGGAGCGACGACAAAGGAGATCGGGAGACACTGAGGGACGGAGGAAGGAAAGGGAGGGAGGTAGAAGGCGGATGGGCAGGGAGGAGGGCCAGGGAGAATGGGGGACGCGGACGATGGATAGTCCTCATCTCCCTCCTCCGCTTCCTCCCTCCCCCCCTCCTGCTCCTGCTCATGCTGCTCCTCATCCGCCTCTTCCGTCCTCCGATTCCCTCTTCAATATCCTCGTCCTCCTCCTCCTCCCCCTCCTCCCCCCTCCCTGCTCGCTTTTTCCGTCCTCCTTCTCCTCATCTTCCCTTCCCGTTCTCGTACCCCTCGCCTCCTCCTATCTTTCTCCCCTTCCCTCCCCCTCTTATTTCTATCCTTTTGAGATTCGGCTCTCAGGGCGCCCCTGGAAGCCCAACAGTGCCCGAACCTCGGTCATTGATCCCTCGACCCCCATCGACGACGCCGACCGTCTCCTCTTCCTCCTCCCACCCAGACGTCCCCATATGTCTCAGGAAGTCCCCAAGCGATCGGAGCTTAATCGCCTCGATCCTCCAACCGAAGCGACACAGTTCACACTCGTCCCCAAAACAATGCACATCGACCCCAAACTAATTCAAAAGGGCCACCGAAACAATTGTCTGGCCCCCCCACGAAGCAGTCACAGGGCCCCCGACACAGTTTACAGAGCCCCCGAAAAAATGAACAGGGCCCCCGAATCAATTCACACATGGGGGATGGAAGGAGGGAGGAGGGGGGGAAGGAGTGAGCCGCGGGGCTCTGTTTCGAAAGCGAAGACCCAACACCGCAAGATGGTTGGGAAGCACGTGGAGGCCAAGACCAACACATAATTGAACGGCCCAAGGTCGCCGAACCACGCCTCTCGAACTCACGTAGATCAGACACAACTGAAACGCCGACTGGGGGCCACAATGCCGAGCGGGGAAGCGTACTAACTCCCTGGCCGCCAGGATCGCTGCCCCCCCCCCCCCCTCCTGAGAGAGGGGACGAGGGGGGCCCCTCCTTATCATAATGGACGTGGCCGAACGGTATTTCACCGTCCATGGGTGCGTGGGTGAAGCGGGATTGCGTGACCCAGATTAAGGCGTGTTTGCTGTTGGGTTAGAACTTCAAAAAATATTGCTGATCTCCTCTGATCGGTGCACCTTGTATTTCTTAATTGAAGTGTCCCGTGTCCTGCATGCGGCTCGCCCGCTGTTTCTCTACAAGGATGAACCTTGGGCCTCAGACTGTGCCCCAGGCCTCCTGTTTACAACGGCAATGGCGTCCGCCTGGTAATTCCCCGCAGCTTATTCAAAATCGCGTTGTCGCGCGGGACTCCCCCACGCTGTATCCAAGAATCGCGCTCTCGCGTGGCACGGCCTCGCAATTTCTTGAAACGCCGCGCCCCCAGCACTCAAGAATCATGCTCTCGCTTGGGGCTTCCCCCTCTGCTGTCAGAACCGCGCCACCCTAAGAGACGCTGTCCCGATTCGTGCAGGACTGACGCTTCACCGACCCGCCCGTTCTATCCGACCCTCTGGACCCGCCCGCCCGTCCCGCACCGCCTGCCTGCTTCTGCCGCGTCTGAGTATGTGCCTGATCCCCCCCCTGCGCATCTGTAGTGCTCCATCCTTCTCTTTAAACGTTGCCCCTTCCCTCCTCCCTTCCCCTGTTCTAGGGGATGCGCCAACTACGCGTGGCAAGTGAGGAAGACATGCCCTCAAGGGGGGGTACGATCGAAGACGAACAGGGCGGGTATCGAGGGCATGGGGTACACATGTCGAATGCCACGCGAGTGCAATAGAACGAACGGTCATAAACTGATTGTTTTTGTTCCCACTGAACTCTCATTTCTCGTAACTAATTAATCTTGTTGATCCCGATCCCCCTCCTCCTGCCCAACGTGTTTTACAATTTACGTGCTCCTCCCGGGGCTCGCACCTAATTGGTGTAGGGGAAATTCTGGGCCTCAGATTGCGTCGTTGGCCCCTGGTTGGTAACGACAGCGGCTCCCGCCCGATACGTCCTCACAATGTATCCCGACATCGAGATCTCGCGCAGGACGGATGCAGGAATCGCCTTCTCGCGTGGGACTTGCTCGAAATGTATTGAAACGCCGCGCCCTCGACATTCAGGACTTGGAAATCGCGCTATCGCTAGAGACTTCACCGCGATTCATCAGGACACATGCTTCAGCAACCCGCCTGCTCGAACTGGTTGCCTGGACCCGCCTTCCCGACCAGCCCGTTAGGGTCCACCCGCCCGATCTGCCTGTCTGGTTCTGCCATGTGTTTGTTACGATGTTTTACTCTCCTAGCCTCCCTCCTGCTAACTTCTCTCGTGCTCCATCCTTCTCCCTCCCCCTTGTCCGTTCCTTCCATCCGTCCTCTCTTCCCCTGTTTTAGGGGGGCTGCGCCAAGTACGCGTGGCAGGTAAGGAAGATATGCCCCCAAGTGGCTACTCTCGAAGGCGAAGGGGGCGGGTATCGAGGGGTGGGGATGTACATGTTGAGTGGCAAGCGAGCAGGTCTGAGCAAACAATGAGTGCGTGATTGCAGCTGCTGCTGTTTGTTGTTGTGTGTTTGCTGTTGCGTGTGTTGTGTGTTTATGTGTTGTTATTGCTCATGTTGTTGCTGTTGAGCTCGCATTATTAAAACTGCTTATCTGTCGATCTCCCTGCAATGCACTTCTTGTTTTTTCATTTAGGAACCCCTCCCGGGGCTCGCACCCTGTTTTGAAATGGGAACGCCTTGGGCCCCAGTCCGTGTTTTCGGCCCCCGAGCTACGGCAACGACGCCTGGCGCCTCATAGTGCCTGACAGTGCACCCCAGATCGCCCTCTCGCGAGCCACTTTTGTACCTGCAAGTCCTTCAGGAATCGCGCTCTCGCGTGGCGCTTCTCCGCAGTCTGTCGAGACGCCGCGCCCCCAACACTCAGGGGCTCGAGGAGGATCGAGGAGGATCGAGGAGGATCGGAGGAGGATCGAGGAGGAGGAGGAGGAGGAGGAGGAGGATCGGAGGAGGATCGATCCTCCTCGATCCTCCTCCTCCCTCTCCTTCCGAGAATCACGCTCTCGCTATGGATTCCATCACGGTTTACTTCGGAATCGCGCCGTCGCTCGAGCCTTCCTCGCGCTCCGCGCGGGACGGAAGCTCCAGGGACCCGCCCGCTCGACGCGGCCGTCTGGGCCCTGTCGACCGGCCCTGGCGACCCCCGCGAACGCGGCGAGGCCTCGAGGGATCCGTCCAACGCCTCAGTGACACAGGTAATGCGGGATGACGATTAATAACAAAATTGGAGAGAACGATTAAAAACATAGTTTTCTGCTATTTCTGCACAATTTTCTGACTGGAGGAGAACGATATAAAAAATAGCTTTCCAGCCCGCGGCCGGTTTTTTCTAATCGTCATCCCGGGCGCCGCCGCGTGAACACGACCCCCAGTCATTTATTAATCGTCATCCTCCAGTAAGATCCCTGGATGCAAACCCTCTCTCCTTTCATCAGCGACAAAACGCACCCTTCATCCAGCCACTCGCCTGTCGCCCGTCAGCTCGCGTTGCGACTCGAATCGCGCTGCCACTCAAGTCGTGAGGTCCAGCCGGCCCGAGGAGGACGGAGGAGGAGAAGAAACGTGGAGGTGGAGAGAAGACATTGGGCGCTGTGCGGATATCCCCTGCGGCCTAAAGTGCAAACGCTATTTGAGAAACTCTGCCCGCTGGCGCCGCGTGCGTGCGCGCGCCTTGGGCCAGCGGCCCCTCGGCGCCGCTGGGGCCGGCGGCTGCGGACCCCTCCGCGGGGACGCCGGAGAGCTGCAGGTGGAGCTCGCCGCCCTGTCCCGAGGGGGGGCGAGGAGGAGTGGGGGGAGGATCAGCAGGAGCAGTGTAAACCCAAGGCGCATCAATGATGTTGTACTGTACCCCCTCCAAGTTCCCTCTCCAAAGGTCCCCACAAGGACTTCTTCCCACTGCTAGAAGTGCCGTCTGAGAATCGTCACTTGTGCCAACACATCACGCCTTCCACGTACTTTATTGTTGCGTTCTGACAGTGCCGAACACCGTTCCTGGGACGTCAACACCGCGAATCAATGTGACTGTTGCGCCCAGACAACTCTGGATCGTGCCAGAAAACGATTCTGGGACGCAAGCCATGAGAATTCGCTGCGCTGTTGCAGACTTTTGAGACGAATGTGCGCGGCGCAAAAACAAGACAACCATATTTTGAAACCGAACCACCCTCGACCTGTTAAATCTTGTAAACTTTCAAGGCCCATGCGCGCCTCACAAAAACGATAACCGCACTTTTAAAACCACCCGCCCTACATTCGTGAAAAGCCCTGGCAACTTTTGAAATGAAGGTGTGCGGCATTGAAGCGAGAACCACACTGTGACAACGATCCGCCATCCATCCGTGAATTTCTCACAAACACACACCCAAACAAATTGTCGCAACGATTGCGCGTGACACTAAGACTAGAGACACATTTTGAAAACGGTCCGCCCTCCATCCGTGAAGCCCATGCAAGCTGTTCAGACGAACTTGCGCGGCGCCTATGCGAGAACCACATGTTGAGAACCACCCGCCCTCCACCCGCGAAACCGTTACAAATGTCGAGCTGCGGACAATAATGAGGAAGTCTTAGGCGAAACGCACGGCACGCCCTACCGACACGCCTCGGGGTGCGACCGGCAGGAGCTCTTCGAAAGAGAAGGACACGAGGAGGAGGACGAGGAGGAGGAAGAGGAAGAGGAGTGGAGGAGGGAGGAGGGAGGAGGGAGGAGGGAGGAGAGGAGGGAGGAGGAGGAGGGAGGAGGGAGGAGGGAGGAGGGAGGAGGAGGAGGAGGAGGGGAGGAGGAGGAGGAGGAGGAGGGAGGAGGAGGAGGAGAGGGGAGGAGGGAGGAGGGAGGAGGGGAGGAGGAGGAGGAGGAGGGGTAGGAGGGGGGAGGAGGAGGGGGAGGAGGAGGAGGAGGAGGAGGAGGAGGAGGAGGGAGGAGGAGGGGAGGAGGAGGGGGGGGAGGAGGAGGGGGAGGAGGAGGAGGAGGAGGAGGAGGAGGAGGAGGGAGGCGGGGCGAGGAGGATTCCCGGCACAACGCTTCTTGCTCTCCTTTCGTGCCGTTCCGCGGGCCCAGGGGCTCTCGCCTCTCGTGGGGGGTCTGCTCCCAACTCGCTGCCGAAGGGCCCCAGAGGTCCCAGGACCTCCAACTTTTTCCTCCTCCTCCTCCTCCTCCTCCTCCTCCTCCTCCTCCTCCTCCTCCTCCTCTCCTCCTCCTCCTCCTCCTCCTCCTCCTCCTCCTCCTCCTCCTCCTCCTCCTCCTCTCCTCCTCCTCCTCCTCCTCCTCCTCCTCCTCCTCCTCCCTCCTCCTCCTCCTCCCCCTCCTCCTCCTCCTCCTCCTCTTCCTCCCTCTCCTCCCTCTCCTCCCTCTCCTCCCTCTCCTCCTCCTGGCGACTCGCGTGGCGGCTCGCTGTCTGCCCGCACAGCGGCGTGCACCCGCCGAGCCCGTGAGCAACTCTTCCGCGGACGGCTTGTGTGCACCCTGCCGCGTGGGCGTCCCCCGAGGCGTCGTCGATCCTCTAGGAGCCTCCCTAGATGGGGTCGGAGTAGATGTGGCCGGAAGATCGCGCCGCATCGCCGATGCATTGGCGACGTAACCGCGATGCATCGGCGATGCGCTGGCAACGTCGGTGATACACCGGCGGCGTCGGCGTGGAGAAACTTGGCCTCCACATCGAGCCGCATCGCCGATGCATCGGCGATGCGGCGCGATCCTCCGACCCCATCTACTCCGACCCCATCTGGGAGGCCTACATCCGTGAGGCAGGAGTGGTGCGGTGCATAGTTTCTCGGCCCTCGGAGCCGAACATCGTGGGCGAAACACATATAACCGCATGGACAGCCTCGCGGGCTGGGCCTCTGGGCCGCCACCCTGCAGGCACGGGGCGTTTTTTCGTGGATGCCCCGCGCGGAACGTATCCTTGCGTTCGCGTATCCGCGGGATCGCTCCCTGGAATCCAGGCCGCAAGGGCGCCGCATCGCGCCGCATCGGCGATGCATCGCTGATGCATCGGCGCCATCGGCGTGGAGAATCTCGGGCTCCACCTCGAGCCGGATCGCCGATGCATCGGGGATGCGGCGCGATCCTCCGCTCTATCTGGGATGCCCAGGTTGAGGGCGCCCACGAAAGACGCACGCGCCCAACCACGTAGACAAACACGGCCCACCAGCCCGCGAGACCAGCCTCGTGTTACGAACGTTCGCGCACTCCGCACTTTCGAAACCAGCGTGGATTCATGCACGTGTACGGCATGCTTATGCCGCGATGGCTTCGGCGCTGGTCTCTGACACCCCCGTGTGGGCCGTTCAACCTCGAACGATCGCAGCTTCCTGATAGGGCAGATCGCTCACCCTCGGCCGACTCCAAGGCACCGGTGGCGTTCAACCTGCCACGCCCGCACCGGGCACACCGCCACGGCAACGCGGCGCGAACCCACCGTGTGTCCTTCTTGCGCTCCTGAAGATCGGGCGATCACACTCGGGCCTCGAGCGGCCCTTCGGGACGGTTCCGGCATGCCTGGGACGCCCGCCACGATGCGCAGCTGATGGGAGCCATCCTGGGTCCCGAAGGCCGTCGAAGACATACGCAAACCTGGTGAAGGCTTTCTTTCTCGGCGTATCAACACTGGGCGGAGGGTGAGGGGGGGAGAGGAGGGGGGGGTCTGGCTCGCGTCTCGTGGGGAACACTCCGCCTGCTGGAAGCAGGCGCCAACAAACGGCCTAGATCTGCTCATGGGGGGGGGAGGGGTGCGAGGGCCCGCGCCGATCGGCAAAACGAGGAATGAGAGAACGATCACCTGAAAGCGACCACACCGACTGCTTGGGCGTTGCTCGATGGGGGGTGGCAGATGGGGGGGGGGGCGGCGAAGGACACGTGCACCCCTCGTGCTGGGCCCCAGAGGGTCCCCTCTCGGGTCGGGTCGGACACGACCTCCCACAGGTGGATGTTATCAGATACAAGAAACATTCAAACACAGACAGAACAAGATCAACCATAGCCAAAAAAACACAAAACACAAAAAAACACAAAACATAGCCAAACAAAAACCATAGCCACACAATATCAACCATAGCCATATCAACCATAGCCAAAAGAACACAAAACATAGCCCCAAAAACACAACACGCTCGTCACCAAACCGTTGTTTCAGCGGGGGGCGGCGAGGCCGGGCAGGCGGCAGCGGGCTCGGCCGGGGAGCCTGCGCCTCCCAGCTGTCGCTGGCCTCCGCCGCCGCACGGTGGGCCTGCGAGGGCCGCGCAGCGCGGCGCCCTCTCCGCGCCCTCTCCGCGCGCCGCCTCCCCCGCCCTGCGGTCCCTGGCGCTCGCGTGGCGCCCTCGAGGCCCGTGCCCGTGCCCGTGTGCAGAGAGGGAGGAGGACGGGCGAGCAGCACACACACAAACACACACACACACACATACACACACACGCACACGAGCACACGAGCACACGAGCACACGAGCACACGAGGACACGAGCACAAACACACACACAGACAGACAGACAGACACATACACACAGACAGACAGACACAGACAGACAGACAGACAGACAGACAGACAGACAGACAGACAGACAGACAGACAGACAGACAGACAGACAGACAGACAGACAGACAGACAGACAGACAGACACACACACACACTTTTTGCGTCGGCGGCTGGGCAGAGGGCGACTGCTCCGGCGGACACACTCACACACACACACACACGCGCACACGCACGCACGCACACACAACACAACACAACACAACACAACACACACACACAGGCTCACGCGCACACACAACACACAACACACACACACACACACTCACTCTCATTCACACACAAACACACGCACACACACGCACACACACACACGCGCGCACACACGCATACACTCACACACGCACACATGCACACCCATACTCACACCCATACCCATAGCGGAAGTCGGAGGCAGGAGGACTGACTATGTGTATGGGTGTGGGTTGTGGGACCCCTGGGGAGGCTCCCGTTCGAGCGGGGACTCCCATCCGACAAGACGCACTCATAGCCCCGTCCGCCCCCCCTATGGGTATGGGTGCGTGTTGTTCGCTCGTCAGAAAAGGTACCCATACCGCTGCCGTTCCCGCGATTTTTCCCCTCGTGGGCCATCGCCGCTGGATTCGCCTCGAGATTTTGGCCCGAACGCACTCTGGGACGAGGCCCGGGGAGTAGCGGTATGGGTCCCCTTCTGGTTTCCCCACAAAGGCGGCGCGTTGACACACTGACTGCCCGTGTGAGCCAGGAGCTCCGGCACATACGCACGGGAACTTCACGGCCCGAGCGTGCTGTGCCGCCCGCGGCTTCCGCTCCCCCCTCTGCGCCCTTCCTGCTCCTGTTGTGCTCCCTTTCGCCCCACGGCGTCCCTCGGCTGCCCCCGACCGCATCTTGGACCCAGTGCGCCGCGACAGAAAAGTCAACGCTTCGCCCCCTTTTGGGGCTCGTCCGGGCACTCGAGCGAAAGTGGGAGCGGCATGCGGGCACAGCGAGTACGTGAGTGACTCAATACTGCGTACGTTGCCGTGGCGAACATAGATACACGCGTGCGGAGATGGATTCACAACACCCCTGCACTGGATGACTGCAGCTTCTGCCCCCGGGTCTCCGGAGGGAGACGGCAGAGAGGCGCGGACAAATCGCATCCCACCTTCCTTGAACGAATGTATTAATCCGCCGACCCTGTCGGCGTGTGTGAGAGGCTCGTCTGTTCGAGTCGTCCCCTTTCCTTGCACCATCCTCCTCAAGCTTGTCAGCGAGCGAGATAACTATCTAGCAATGTCGTAATCGAGTCGCAGCGAAACCTTCCCTTTGATGCCTCCCCCCTTCGGGGGGGAGGGTCCGGGGGGGGGTAGGGGGGGTAGGGAGAGGGTAGGGGCCCTGTGGTGGTGGTCAGATACACATCCCCCCCTGGGGGTCCCGGGCCTCAGAATGTCCCAAGACAGGCCAAGAGTGCCCCAAGAGGGCCCCGAGACGCTCCAAGAGTACCCCCAATCGCCAAACAATCTGTCCAAACTGCCTTGACGCCCTCCAGACTGCCAAGAGGCCTCTGGGACGCCCCAAGAAGCCTCCAAGAGCACTCCCGAGAGGGCCCCAAGAGGCCCCCAAGATCGCCCCAAGACGGTCCAAGATGCCTCCAAGAGGGCCCCCAAACAGCCCAAGAGCACTCCGAGACACCCCGAAACGCCTCCAAAACGGCCCAAGAGGCCCCCAATTCGGCTCCGCGAGCGTGCCTAGACAGGGGGGCCCGAACGGACATTTCGAGGCCTCGGGCCCGAGAGGCTCCCAGGAGGCCCCAAGAGGTTCCCGAGAGGCCCCGAGAGGCCCACGAGAGGTCCCCATGAAGCCCGAAGTGACCCCCGAGAGGCTCCCGAGAGGCCCCCACGAGGCGCCCAGGAGGCCCCACAGTTCCTCCACGGAGGCCCCCGAGAGCCATCCGAAGAGACCCCAGGAAGCACCTCTGAGGACTCTGGCCCACGCCAGCCCTTTCGTCGTCGCCGCCGCCGCTATCGTCGTCGTCTCCGCTCAGGCTCGGTGGCACTGGCCGTGCGGCCTCCGCAGCACAACGACCCTTCCTGCCGGGGGCCGCCGGCGGCGTCCCCGGCCCACGGCGTCTCCCCGGGACTTCCCCTGCGGAGGCCCAGGCGGCCTCCTCGGGGGCACCCCTCGCGAGGCCGCAGAGGGCCGCGGGGTGGGCTGGACAGCGCGGGTCGGCTGGTGCGGGCGGGGCCAGGGCCAGGCTGGTGGGACCCGTTCCGGTGCTGCCCCGCGGGACCGACGTCGAACACCGCCCTCGCCGCCGACCACCACGGGCAGCTCCAGCGGAGGCAGGCGGCCGAAGGACCTCGCGGTGCAAAGGGACTGCCCGGGGAGGCATCGGCAGAGGAGCACCACCCCGGATGCGCACAGACTCTTGGGGGTCCGCGCGGAGCTCCGAGCATGTCGGCGTGTGCAAGGTGTCATCCTCGGGCGCCCTCCACGGGGGGCATGGCGAACCCAATCCCCGTCATTGCTGGGGCTCCCGAACGGGCAGAACAAGTCGGGGCCAGACCCGGGGGCATACAGCCAACCCGTATCCTAAGGATGCGCGGTAGAGATGCAAGGGCCCGAGAGGGCCACGTGAACGTTCCTCGAGCGAGGCGGGCCAGCGAGAGTCGCTCAGGACGGGCCGAAGGGACAAGGATGCAGGGGTACCCTCGGGAAGGTTGCCCATCCCTCCCGTGCGGGTTGACTGTGCACGAGGCGGCACCCCTCCTCGACGGTGGTGCATCCGAGCAGCCCCCGTGGGGGGTACAGTCGGCCTTGATCGGACAGGACACGCGAGAGGACACAAGACCCTCCCGAGGGCCACATCGCCATAGGAGTGTAAGAAGGCACGTGTCGCGAGGCACAGGACACGAGGGTACCCTTGAGCTGGCAGGGTCGACCTACTAATCCGGGCCGACTGCACAGGGGGGCGAGGCAGCGCCTGCGGACCCTCCCTGCCCCACCTTCGGGGCCCACTGCTCGAGCAGGGGAGATCGGCATCCTTGCGGTCGACACCTACGAAGGGTCGAGTCTGCGAAGCAAGCGGGCCGAGCTTCGCAGATCCGCGAAGCGCTCGGCGCATCGGTCCTCGCAGGCTCGTCGGACCAAAAGCACTCTGGTACAACCTCAGCCCTGCAGGCGATCTCCTGCTCGAGCTGTGGGGGCCTCCCGAGAGAGCGCTGCACTCTCCGCGCGCACGCCGCGCTGCGCGCCCCCCCCCCCCCCCCACCTCTCTCCCGCCACATGGGGGCCCGCCCGCCCGACCGACCCCGCCCGAGGCCCCCGCGGCCCGAACTTCTGGCGCCGCGCTCTTCTGGCCGTGCCGTCCGGCCGAGGGGGAGCCCCGCGAGCTGCGATCTCTGGCGGCGAGGTCGAGGACGGCGTCTCGGCCTCGACCCCGTCCCGCAGCGAAGGCGCCGCGAGGGCGGAGCGGGGCGCACGCACCACGGCCGCGCGGAGCACACCCTCTGGCCCGAGCCCGCGCCCTCTCTCTCCCCGCCGAGGGGGAGAGCCCTGCGGCGGGCGAGGGCGGGGCTCGGGCCGACCCGCGTGCCTTCCGCGCTCGGTCTGCCGTGCTCCCTCGTGCCGTCGTCGCTCCCTCGTGCTGCAGGCCTTCCCTCGTGCCGTCCCGCCGGTGTGCTCCGTCCCTCCCTCGTGCCGTCTTTCGCTCCGCCTTCCCCGCAGGACGAGGTCGGAGCCAGGAACTGTCCGCATCGCCAAAAATCGCGGCTCAGCCCGAGCCCTGTGGCATGAGAGAGAGAGAGGGAGAGAGGAAGGGAGCAGCGGCGAGGAAGAGACGACACGACAGAGCCCGCGGAGGCCGAACGCGTGCCCCCTGAAGCCCTCTTGGGGCGCTCTTGGGCGCTCTTGGGGCCCCTCTTGGGGCTCTCTTGGGCCATCTCGTGGGTCCGTCATGAAGCAGCGCCCACGGGACGCCAAAAGGCGCGAAGGCCAAACACATTGCTTCAACTTGAGTCGCGGACGGATTTTGTAGAGGAGCAGAATATTAACAGGAACATGCACTTCTGGCGCTCCGAGCAGATTTCTTGGATCTGCGCTGACCCCCCTCCCTGGCGCGCGGAGCGCGCCAGGGAGGGGGCGCCAGAGGCGGGGCCAGGGGGGCCCAGGCGCCGCTCGAAGAACTCCGCGCGGAGCGCCACAAGTTTATGCCTATGCCGTTTCCTCTTCTTTTTCTTTTTCTTCTTCTTCTTCTACTTCTTTCTCTTCCTCTTCCTCTTCCTCTTCTTCTTCTTCTTCTTCGATTGGGAGCCTCGTGGAAGGCTTGGGGGGGGGAAGGGCCGGGCCGCAGCTCGCCCGCCGCGCGCGCCGTGTGCGCCGCGCCGCGGCGGCCCGAGGGGCGCGGCGGCCCCGCGGGGGCCGCCGCGGTCGGGCGGCCGAGGGGCGCGGCGCCGAGGCCGGCGGCCGGGGCACCCGAAGCGAGCAGGGGTGGCGCCGAAAACCAAAGGGGCGCCGCAATCCAGAAGGACGCCGAAAACCAAAAGGACACCGAAGACCAAAAGGGAGCGCCGAGAACCAAAGAGGCGCCGACCACACAGGGTCACCGAAAACCCAAGAGGCGTCGAAGAGTGTGCCGACCCCTGATCATCGGGTGTTGCCAGCGGTGCCCCTGGCCAGAGGTACTTCAAGCAGCGCCCGAAGTCAAGAGGCCTCCCAGAGGGGGTGTCCGAGCAGATGGGGCCGGAAGATCTCGCCGCATCGCCGATGCATCGGCGATGCATCGGCGATGAGCTGGCGACGCATCGAGCGGCATCGCCGATGCACCGCCGCTGCATCGGCGATGCGGCACGATCCTCCGACCCCATATGGGAGGCCTAGACTATCCCAGGCCTCGTGGGTTTTGCTTGAATGGGCCAAAAGTTTGGGGCTCAACCCTGGGATGCAGGGATGGGGATGTGTCCATCCTCGAGAAGGGGTGCGTCCGAACAGCCCCCTAGAGGTGTATTCCAGTGTTTCCCCATTTTTCTGAGCGGCTTAGTTGTTCATTGGAAAAGTGGGGGTCGGGGGAGAAACATCGCATGCGAGCAATCGTGGCAAAACCACAGAAATCTCGGCCCCGCCTTCATGCTGGAGCTCACTGGCTGGATCGGTCCGCGAGGGCCCTGGGGTCCGAGCCCGAGGGTAGAGGGGCCCGCTGTGACTCCTCACGGCTCCCAGACGTCAGATCGTCCGAGTCAACGCTGCCGCTTGATGCTCGATAACCTTCTTGCTCCTGTGGGCTGGAGGTGGCCTGGGGGTCCGAGCTGGACCGAAAGGGGCAAAAAACGGTCGAACCCAAAACTTCGAGCCTCAACCCCCCTCCATGCTCGCTGGGACCAGTGCAGGGCCACCTCGGAGACCCAGCCGAGTCCCAAGCTTCTTGCGCCCCGACGCCCCGGGCCCACATCGACAGGCCACGGGGCCAGGGCGCAGGCAACCGGGACCGCGCGCAGCTAAGGCAAGAGACTGGCCTCTCGATCTTTCTCGCTACCTTGCGCTCTGGCCTCCGCCTCTCATCCTCTCGTCCCTCGTCCCTTTCCTCCTCGCCTCCCTCCTTTCCAAGCTCCCTGCAGGTGAGCCAACGTGCTCACGCTTTCCATCACCGACGCGCCGTTAATTCGGCGCGTGGCGCCTGGACTGGGCTGGGCTGGACTGCGACCTGCTTGCCGCCCACGCCGGCCTGCATCCGTGGCTCGTCCCACTGCGGCGCGTGAGCCGCGCCGTTCCAGAAGTCCAATGTTCTGATAGAACTGGGAGTGGCGGGTGCTTGTCTATGTTCGGCCTCTGGGGGCCCTCAACGGGCGCCTGGGGACCTCAGGAAGAAAGCCTACCTCCCCCCTCGAAATCAAACGCAAGTTCTTCCTGTCACGTGGCGGCGCCCCAGGACCCCAACATTTCAACGTTCGCGACGAACTTGGCGACGGCAGACACAGAAATCGGACCCCGCGTGCCGCGTTTCGCGCGTCGGCCAACATTCAAAACTCGCGTTTGATTTCGAGGGGGGTTGTAGCCCCAGGGAAGTGGTCCAGACCCCCAGGGTTCCACAAAGCAACAAACCTGGAGTGCCGGATGTCTGGGTTCGCGCGGTCTCCCCGCCAGCCCGTGCCAAGAGCTGGACGTGCCCTGCAGCAGTGCTCTCCGCCACCGTTCGGGAGAAGGGAGGTGCACGCCACCACCGTGCACACTGGCCGAATCTCGGCCCAGGCCCAGGTGCACAGAGCTGGTGTACATGCCCCCTCTACCGAATCACGAGGAGGAATTAGGAGGAAGCAGTCTGCTGATTTTGGATGGTGAGCCAGAGGGAGCAACGATAGACTCCGCGCAAAGCCAGCCGCGAGCCTCAGAGGTCCTCCTCCGCCCATGGTGCTGTCAGCACGACCTTGTCGTCGACGTCGTCGTCGAAGGCGAAGTGCGCGAAGCCCTCCTGCTCCTTGAGCGGGGTCGCGACCGTCTGCATCATGACCACGCTGTCGAGGCCCGCATCCAAGTCCACCTGCTGGCCTACACGCTCGGCCGAAAGGGCCCTCCAGTTCAGGCCGTTGAGCGCAGCGCACGGCAACGCCATGGCCACGAGGACCGCGAGGGCGCGCGCCATCATGAAGAGTTAGACCGTTGTGTGAGGCGTCGCGTGGGGGCCGATCGCGCGGGCGCGTCTGCACTCGATCCCAGAGTTGCCTACGGATCGTGGGCGTGCGTTGGGAGTCTCTACGGCGTCGGCTGGGTCCTGTGAGTGGGAATCGGTGTGATGTGTATTGGAAAAAAACCTTGGTCATTCCTAGTCGTTTCACAACGCCATACGTCAACACATATTGGTGCATACCGCCAATTGGGCTGATGGTTCCGCCCGGCTTCCCTCTGAAACACGGCCGAACATGGATGGCAACCGCTTCCGTTATGTGTGTATGTATACATCGTATGTACAGATATCGCACATTTGCAAAATGAGCCGGCAAAATTTCCAACCCATGCGAATCAATTGTCAAGACCAATGGGCTCCTCCCAACCGTGATGCTATAACCAAGAGCACGATGCTTTGTGAACGCTGCGAGAGGGGGGGGTGCTAGGCGTTGCACGCCTCACGGGATCGGTCTGAGATAATGCCAGAAACGATACGACGTGGAAGGAGATAGACGAAATGACGACGATGACCAAGAAACGCAAGGAAGCTGCGCGGTTGCCAACAACCAGGGAGTGCGAGGTCCCGCTTGGGTCCCTGTAGAGCCTCATTGCTCTGGCCCTCCCGCAAGCTTAAGGTTACAACGCCAGTTGCAACGATAGGAGTACCCAAGGAGGAGACGTCTACTTTGGCCCCCTTTGAGCCAGAGCTCTGCTGGACCTCCCAGGAGCCTAGGAAATTTCCGACGGATGGGGAGCCAGGGGGAGTAGCGATAACGAGGGTCCACGCAGAGGCTGCAGGAACAACAACAACACCAACAAGAACAAACAAGGCTGCCCGCCGCGAGCCTCAGAGGTCCTCCTCCGCCCATGGTGCTGTCAGCACGACCTTGTCGTCGACGTCGTCGTCGAAGGCGAAGTGCGCGAAGCCCTCCTGCTCCTTGAGCGGGGTCGCGACCGTCTGCATCATGACCACGCTGTCGAGGCCCGCATCCAAGTCCACCTGCTGGCCTACACGCTCGGCCGAAAGGGCCCTCCAGTTCAGGCCGTTGAGCGCAGCGCACGGCAACGCCATGGCCACGAGGACCGCGAGGGCGCGCGCCATCATGAAGAGTTAGACCGTTGTGTGAGGCGTCGCGTGGGGGCCGATCGCGCGGGCGCGTCTGCACTCGATCCCAGAGTTGCCTACGGATCGTGGGCGTGCGTTGGGAGTCTACGACGTCGGCTGGGTCGTGTGATTGCGCGATGAGTCTTGCAAAACGGTCGTGGTCACTTTGGGAAACAGGACTGTACATGTCACTGTCGATCGATGTGGTCACGTGGACGGATCGGTGCTGCTGCGCTGGCACAGGGGAGGGTGCGGCCTCAAGCAAATAAGCACTTCGCGAACCAATTTTGCGCCCTTTTAAGCCCGTCAATTTCGCCTGTGCTGTGCTCCATGGTTTTCTATTTTTGGAAGCGTCGCAGTGGAGGATAACCTTCGAATCGAAGCTCTGGCCCGCTCCTAAACCCGCGCGCCCGCAACTGGAGGTGAAGCCTCAGACCCGAAGGAGTCACAGCGTCTCGGGAGCGTGCTCGAGCCCCGAGCTCTGCGGAGCACCGGAGCCGAGGCAGGCAGACCTCCGCCTCTCTGGGAGGCGCGCAGCAGCTGCCCACGCCGCCGCTGGGCTCTCTGGAACCTCTGCGCCAAAGCGGCGGACATCCCGTGCCGAGCGAACCTCGAGCACACCTGGAGAGCACCCGGAGCCGTCCAAAGCTTCCCGGGTGCTGGAGAACCGATCTGGAGCTCTATTCGGCACGGCTTCGGGTTGCGCGCAGACGCCCCAAGGGGGGTCGGAGGAGGCGGCGCTGGAGTGCTGATACCGCCCTGGACCACTCGGGGGCCTGCTGAGGTCAGCTGGAACTACTCGGAGAGCCTCGTAAGGCCAGCAAGGACTACCTGGGGAGCTGCCTATGCTCAGCCCGAAGCCTCAATTACCAATATTTCATCTGGAGACCACCAGCAACCTTCGAACTCATTGCCCACAGACTGAAGATCCCACTGCAGTCAACCCGTACAGCAAGGCTGCGCGAGGATGCAAGGGCCGCGGGCGCCCATTTCGAAGCTTTGCGAGCGGGGCGCGGCCAACGAAAGTGGCCAAGCATGGACCGAGGAGGCAAGGCTGCCAAGGGTACTGCTGGGGCGGGTTGACTGTATTGAAGGGGCCCTGGGACACATACACATAAACACACACAAATAAAAGGAATCCCCATCTTTCCCCATATCTTCTGGGTTTCTGTCTCCCCCCCCCACTTCCCATGTTTTCCTATATTTTCTTGGGGACGCGACGATTCATCGTGTCTGTGTGTGTGTTTTCCCCCTGCTGATGCACCACGGCCAAGTCCTTCCCGTGGCACCTGGCCCCCCTCCGCGCCTGGCCCCAGGGGAGCTCGCCGGTCATGACGAAGTACCGGAGCTGGTCGCCAAACGACCGGGGGGCCCCCGCGTGCTCACCTGGCCGGGCCCACCGGGTGGCTGCGCCTCGTCTCTGTCTCTCGCGTGCCCTCGCCCCGCCCTTCGCGTCCTCCTCCAGCTCCTCCTCCTCCTCCTCCTCCTCCTCCTCCTCCTCCTCCTCCTCCTCCCTTCTCTTCTCTGTCTGGACTCTCTGCCGCTTCTCCTTGTCCCCCTCTTTCCGCCTCCCTCCTGCTACCCTCCCTCCCCCTCTCGCCTCCGTCCCCTGCCTCCCTCATGTCCTACCCATCCCGTGATCTCTCCCGAGATCTTTCGCTCCTCTGGGGCACGCCTGGGTGGCCCCATGAGAAGCTGCAGCGGTTGGTACCCACTCTCGCCGAAACCGAATCCCCGACCACCCACTGCTTGGAAACTCTGCGTGCTGATTTTTCCCCCTGGGAAGTCCGCCGTGACTGCAGCCCAGCGGGCTCAATAACTGCAACCCTCGAGATCCATCCCCCTTGGAAGAATCAGAAATCATCGATGCTAATACGAAATAACGGGTTTTGGGGGGAAACGGGTCCTGGACCCTGGGGCCTTCCCCCAAGACCAAATGTCTGCCCCGAATCATGTTTTCATAGTCCCGGGGCCCGTGGAGGGCACTGGGAAACCAAAAACGGCGAAACACCTCAGGATTCGTTTCCTTCAGGACCTGGTTTCTGCGTGAACAAAATATATGCGTGGGGTCTGCGGACTACACACCAGTACCAGAAACGGCCAGACCCGTCCTGGGCACAAGGTTGGTCCATGGACCCTCCTGACAGCTGCGGTACCGGTGCTGGTGCAATGACGGCACCTCCAAATTCTGTCTGGCTCTTCTCCAGCAAGCGCGCGAGCACCCGCCAAAGTCCCGCGCCAAAAGCTTCCCCATCCAGCCCGTCAGCCAAGACCAACATGCTCGCTAATACTGCGACCCTGATGCCGTTACGATCGCGACTGTGCCAACGACCGCTGACGTGGTTATGATCGTATGCGCGTTGACGGCAGCGACAGCATTTTTCTGGTGCTCGCAGACCGAAGAGTCGTGTGCACTTCGGCACTATGAAATACTGCGGTGTAGCGCAGCGTGCGCAGAGCTTCACGTTTGTCGTCGAGCACTGCACGGTGGAACCACATTACCATCTACCTGCAGAGCCTCTCTTTAAGAGTCTCCTCTCTAGGGAGGATGTCGGCGTGGTACTATCAGCTATGAATTCCGATCGGGCA